GTGTGACGTGCGGCATATGGCTCAACCTTGCTGAGCTTCAGTGCCTCATCTGTAAAATAGTACCGTTCACTTTCCTCAAGTGTTCGAAAGCTTGAACGTAGGGCACGTGTAACACTTGACATATGCGAGGCATTCAGGAAATGGTAGATAGTGCCTTTTTTTTTTTCTTTTTGTAGACTGGAAGCTCTTAAAAAAAAAAATCTTTTTCTTTTTATCCCCAGCGCCTGGCACAGTGCCTGCGACATAAGTAGGTACTCAGTAAATGTTTATTTGAGTCAAATTAATTACTTTTAGCACAGATATTTCTCAGAATTTCTTGTGTCCCACTTCTTACTCCCTAAATAACGTTAGCCCATGTTTTGACTTCTATGCTCTTCCAGTGAAAGAGGCGCAGAAGACATTCCACACGCAGAGGCGGGGCAGTGTGCCTCGCGTGATGCAAGAGCTCCTTGGAAATCATCTTCTTCCCCTCCTAGATCTGCTTGGTGCTGTACGGGAAGGCTGGCTTTGATGACCCATCGAATATGTTTGTGTTTGTTTTTTCCTTCCAGATTCTTAGAATTTGCACCAGGTATACCCCAGAACAAGACACCATGACTTTTTCAGATGGCCTTACCCTAAATCGGACTCAGATGCACAATGCTGGATTTGGTCCTCTGACTGACCTTGTGTTCACCTTTGCCAATCAGCTCCTGCCTTTGGAAATGGATGACACAGAAACAGGCCTTCTCAGTGCCATCTGCTTAATCTGTGGAGGTACCAACTACCTAGAAAACCCTCATGAGACGCCATGAAGAACAACTTGTAATTTGTGGGTGCATGGAGAAAGCCATGTGAACAGCCAGGCATGCATGCTTGGAGTTTGTTGCATTTTTCCATATTGTTGTAAACTGCTCTGAAACACCAAAATGCTATTTCTCCAACTGCTACCAGTTTTTTCCAAGGCAGGATCAGACTACTGTAAAATAAATTGCCCAAGGACGTTTTAATGACGATGCAAGGGACTTCCCTGTGCTGCTTGTGAATTTAGTGGCTGGGACTACAAGTCCCTGGGTTGTCTCGCCCCCACCCCACCCCTAACCCTTGAAGGACTGGGATAAAATACGGCTTTCTTCTTTGTACTGACCCCTACTGGCTCACAGGAGGTTGAATCGTAAGTGGTTAAAAAAGTAATGGCTTTAATTACGGGGGCCTATTTACCTTAAAACCATCCAGCCGCTCAAGATTTGTTTGAATTCAGTTCAGTAGTGACACCTCCTGGTCACAAGAGGTAATTGTCTCCCTAAGACAAAAGCTACCAGGCATCAACATGAGCTTTTGACCAGCAAGAGGGCCATTTTCAAGTATCACGGCTTAGAGCAGTTGCATGAATCTTCAAACCTGTATATGTGACTGAATCATGGACTTAATGAAGTCATAATATGCTAGGGCCAAGGACACAAGAAAGGAAAACGGGCAGCAGCCCTCTCGCCTGGCAAGTGCATAACTCTTTGTGTCCTGATACTAATTAATACTTTATTTCTGCTATCTAGACCGCCAGGACCTTGAGGAACCAACAAAAGTAGATAAGCTACAAGAACCACTGCTGGAAGCACTAAAAATTTATATCCGAAAGAGACGACCCAGCAAGCCTCACATGTTTCCAAAGATCTTAATGAAAATCACAGATCTCCGCAGCATCAGTGCTAAAGGTATGTCTTTACAGTCTACGTTGTATTCATGAAGTGGTCCTGACTTTTTTAAACTTGATGTTTTCATTCAGCGTGTTTGGTAATAGCTGCTTTTTTGTTGTTGTTTTGGAATTTCTCATGGAAATCAAAAGGAATAATATCCACCCTTAAAAAAAAAAAAAACCTCACATCTTTCCCTACTCGATGATCTTAATAGATTGAGTTTATAATTCGGGTGACGAAGTGAACAGAAAACCCTTTTTTTTTTTTTGAGAGATTCATTTATTAGAGAGAGAGCGCGCACGCGTGCAAGGGGAAGGGGCAGAGGGGGAGGAAGAGAGAGAATCCCAAGCAGACTCCTCGCTGAGCACAGAGTCCTACAAGGGGCTGGATCCGAAGACCCTGAGATCATTGACCTGAGCCAAAACTGAGTCGGATGCTTAACCGACTGAGCCACCCAGGCGCTCCTAGAAAAACTGTTTTCAAGAGAATGTACTATATAGTGACAGGCTTTTTGATTTTCTAGTTTTATACATTTCATTCCTGTCCACACATGCTCTGGTTGATATAAACTTGACTGCAGTTTTTCCTGACCATCCAAACCTCAGGAAAATGAATAGGACTTAGGGCAATTGTTACTGGTGCAGTTTCTCTCTCAAGTCAATGTTGCCGTCGCTCTCTTGTGTACAGGCGGATTTACTTCTGCACACTTCTCGGCAAAGGAATTCTTGTCTTCCTGAGAGGTATAAATATTCCTTGCCTAGTGATTTTCAGTTTGTGTGGCAACTTGAGCAATTACAGAAGCGCCTAGAGCCGTACGACAGTTGAGTGCTAGAGTAGGGTTTTTCCGTGTAGAGAGAAAACTCAGCAGCTGTCCCTGGTACCAAGTGTGCTGTTGTCATTCTCCTTCCCCATTAGCGTGCTGTGTCCCTGAAGACCTGGCTGAGCCAAGGAACAAACTCTACATTTCACAAAGTCCTTTAAAAACATGGTGAGCTTGTTTGACAAGGAGTCTCAATTCTTGAGCTCCTTCTAAGAAATTTTCTTAGTGAGCCATTCTGAATTCATCCCTAGTATGGGATTAAGAGTATCTGCAAACAGCAGATACCAGTGCTTGGCCATTATAACTGTGAGGTCTTTGATTTTAAAAACAATGAGGCTGTTTAGCTTAATACTGTCATTCTCTATATCTAGCTAGACCAGTGCTAATAGAATTTACTGTGATTATGGAAATACTCTATAATCTGCATTGTCCAATACAAGTAGCCACTAGCCACTCGTGGCTCTCAAGCACTTAAGAAGTGGCTAATGCAATTGAGGCACTGTTTTTCCTAACTGTATTTAATTTAACGAATTTAAATTTAAATCACCACATGTGGCTGGGGCCTACTGTGCTGGACAATGCAGTGCTACATCAACTTGATAATCACCGCTCATTTATTACTTAAGTCCCTTCCTTCATTTGTGGGTAACTGGTATCCTTGACAACTGTCTCGTTTTAAGATACGCTCCTTCTGGTCTTTTATCAAGAACTTCTCTTTGTAAATATATCCTGCTAACCTTTCCTGAAACTGACTCAGGCATGGAATCATCAAATTTAAGCAAGTCCCTGCATCTGCACTGCTTCCCTAGAGATGAAGTAAAGATATTTAAATGTTGTAAAATCAGGACAGCCTCTGGGAGGCACTGGTAGGACGGTTTTCACTGTTTTTAAAGTAGATGAAAAGTTGATCCCAAGTTACTCAGCCTAACTCCCTGTCTCTACCAGATTTCTATTATTTCTCTTTATAAAAGGTGCAGAACGTGTAATTACCTTGAAAATGGAAATTCCTGGATCAATGCCACCTCTCATTCAGGAAATGCTGGAGAATTCTGAAGGACATGAACCCTTGACCCCAAGTTCAAGTGGGAACCCAGCAGAGCACAGTCCCAGCACCTCACCCAGCTCAGTGGAAAACAGCGGTGTCAGTCAGTCACCACTGGTGCAATAAGACACTTTCCAGCTACTTCAAACATTCCCCAGTACCTTCAGTTCCAGGATTTAAAACGCAAGGAAAAAAAAAAAAAAACATTTTTACTGCTGCTTAGTTTTTGGACTGAAAATATATTAAAACTCAAGAAGGACCAAGAAGTTTTCATATGTATCAATATATACTCCTCACTCTCTAACTTACCTAGAAATACAGACTTTTTCAATTCTAAAAATCAGCCATTTCATGCAACCAGAAACTAGTTAAAAGCTTCTATTTTCCTCTTTGAACACTCAAGATTGCATGGCAAAGACCCAGTCGAAACGATTTACCCTGGTTAAGTTTCTAAAGACTTTGTACATACAGAAGTATGGCTCTGTTCTTTCTATACTGTATGTTTGGTGCTTTCCTTTTGCCTTGCATACTCAGAATAACCAAGACACCAAGGTTGTGAAACAGACTACTGTTATGTGTCCGGCTAAGAAAGGCTAAAAAAAATAACTGTCTTGCTTTCACAGAGCAATCAGGACATCAAGGTAAGGAAAGGGGACTGTTGTACAGTATGACAAGATAAAACTAGAGAGAATTCTAATTTAGTTAGTACGGAAGCCTGTCCTTGCTCTTTCTGACGCTCTCAAACTGCGTCTTCTATTTCATGTTGCCCAGTCAAAAGATACAAATTCACTGCACTAGCAGAAGAGAATTCTGTATCAGTGTAACTGCCAGTTCAGTTAATCAAATGTCATTTGTTCAATTGTTAATGTCACTTTAACAGTGGTTTATTACTTAATGACATAACTACATGATTTTTTTTTTAAAAAGATACATTTTTACAGTAATGGTAGCCTCCAAGGCAGAAACACTTTTCAGTGTTAATAAGTTTTTTGTTTACCTATTCACAAGCCATTAGGGAAATTTCATGGGACAATTAGCAGACTGGTCTACCACCTATACCATGTAACTCCAGTGTCTTTTCCGATGCGTGCCTGCTATGGAGGGTCTTTTCTAGCCTCCTTGATGCCCAGGGGCTAATATGAACTCCCCAAGGCATGGACAGAGAATCTGCATCCTTTGACCTTGTTCGATCACTATGAAGCAGAGTGAAAGCTGTGGTAGAGTGGTTAACAGATACAAGTGTCAGTTTCTTAGTTCTCAGTTAAGCACTAGTGGATTTTTTTTTTTTTGATATATTAGCAAGTCTGTGATGTACTTTCACTGGCTCTGTTTGTACATTGAGATTGTTTAACAATGCTTTCTATGTTCATATACTGTTTACCTTTTTCCATGGAGTCTCCTGGCAAAGAATAAAATATATTTATTTTAAAAGTGTATGGGAGCTTTTACTACACTTTCATCTTACTTAGTAAAGACACAGAGTACACAGTTCCATTTTTAATGTTTAAATTTCATTTCAAAAAGCAGGTCTGTAGTCTGCAACCATGACAATTAAAATCTGTGCTAATGCACGGCAGTCTATAACAAGTCTACAAGCCAATCAGACAGTACATGACATTTCAATGAGTAAAAAAGAGCATAAAACTGTATGTGTAAGAACAAAATGTTAAAAGGCCTACCACAATAATAAAAAACCATCAATTACATCATCACATTAAAATAAGCCAGATGTACAAAAGTCTGAGACAGAAAAGACAAAAGGACAACACAATTTATCTGTTGAAAAATGTTTCTGTGCTCTTTGGGCACTTAATTAAACATTGCAAAATCAACATCTTCTTCTTCATCAGACTCTGCAAAATATTTTACTTCTTTCCTAGCCCTACCGGTCCGTGGCAGAGAAGGTGGTTCAGAAGTGAAGTCTGATGGGAAGATGTCCACATCTGAATCCTGATCAAAAGATGTTTTCTTCGGTTTCTAGACAGGTTTAAAAAAAAAAAAAGATTTAAAACCTCAAAGTTAAAAAAAGAAAAAGACTAGTGTTAAAATGAATTATTATTCCTTACACTTCACTTACATTTGAGAAATATTGCAAATAATGAGGTTACTAAAATCAAAACTGTAATGCTGACTTAAGTCTAAGACCAGTTATCTAATCCTTTTTCCCCTTTATAAAAATGAGTAAGTCTACTAATCTGCCACCTTGGTGATCTCCTATTTTTTCTGAACTTCTATATTGCCAAACAAATATGTACAGTGTCCACACTAGTAAAAAATTATTTGTAAGTACCTATCAATTCATGAAAGGAAAACAAGACTTAGGCACAGCATGGAGTACACACGGTGTTTATAAAAATGCAGGGAAGAGTCATCAAGATGGACCAGAGGCATGGAAGATGACTGGATGGAAAAAGGTCAAGGTGGAGAGCAGCGGAAAGCTAAAAATCTCAATGTTTGTATTTTTATAAAGTTCTAATAGGGAGAGAGAGAAAAAAGAGGGACATTTGAGGTTTTTCTTTTACCATAAGACTGAAAATTAGCCATAGTCAAATGAATTCAAGTTAAAAGAGAAAAATCAGCCCTGGCCAAATAAATCCAAGTTAAAAAGAAATAGTCTTTATTTGGTATGAAAAATAATATTTCAGACAGGTAGCATATAGCTTCTATGGCTCATTGGATGAAATGGAATACTCTTAATCAAGTAGGCTAATTTATGCCGTACTTTTATCCAAGAAATAGTCCTGATTGTATGGATTTTATAATTCTTTAACCATATACAAAGCCCCCCTATGCATAAGATAGGCTAGGTTTAAAGCTGTTAAAAGACATTATAGTAATAAGCCAACTAAGCCAGTTATAGATCATAAAACAATGCATTAAAAAGATGTTCCTAATTACCTTGCTTGTTGTTTTGGATGTTTTCCTGCCAGGGTTATAATCACCTTCATTTTCAGAGCCAGATGCTTTCCTTTTCTTTGCCCCTCGGCCTTTACCTTAAAATGATACAAAGGTTTGTTTTTTTCTCTCCCAAGGTTAAGTGCGATATAAAAAATAAATGCCACAACATTATATTTCACTTCTTTGCCATGCCCCAATCAGTACTGCAATCCTGGTCTCTAAATATAAATGAGAGAAAAATGTTTTGGCAGCATCATTTCAGTTCCGGGACTGATATGACTAAAAAGTATTTCACAGATACATTTAAAACTAGCTGGAAGGTCCTGGTGACAAACTTTAATGACCAAGCCCATGATACACAAGAGAAAACACTGGCATTATGAACATGTAGTCCTTGGGCCTGAAAAGAAAATGTCTTCAAAGAGTGCTTTTTAAATTGTATGTGATGAAAAAAAAAATTTAGTTTCTAATTTGTCAGACTAGTACCTTTAAAAATATAAAATGAATCACTAGAAAAGTAATACATATTAGTACAAATTATATGTTTGAATGTGTACTCAAAATTTTACCTATCACACATTAGTAACAACCATTTTAAGTAGCACAGTCTTAGAATAAACCCCCAGTATTAATCATGTAATAATCTGTCAAACTCATATTCCTTCTCAGACTTAGAAGCTCCACATGCAGTTTTTGTTTTGTTGTTGTTTTGCCATCTACCTAACCTCTTACTCTCATTGGAGGAGGAAGGGCAAAAGTAACATGCAAATGGTGACAAAATATTCTCCATCCTATAGTGATGCCAGATGCCAGTGAAACAATGGAACTAAAGTGCAATTCTAAATTTTAAAAATTCCTTAAGAGCTATGACTAACCAGACTGTATTAGTAAAGACAGCCTAAATGATCTTGGGATGTTTATCAAATGAGTCAATGAAATGGCACTTGTGAATTTATAAAAGTTCCCAACCATGCATACCATACAGATTGACCTCCTCAGCGACTCTTTCTTTTTTGCCCCTATTCTCCCTTGTTTCCATGTAGGTCTCTAGCTCCTCATCCCAACCACCACTTTAAGACATGAACACATTGACGGTAATATCTGTCGGCTGGATAAAAGGTTGAGCAATGACCCTTAAAATAACGTCTTACACATATATTTTAAAAAGCACCTTTGAGGACTTTCTAGATTCTGGAGGCAAAGAAGGGGTGCCAGGGAGAACTGATGCTGGTGCCCTTACAGGTCCCTTAGTACAGTGATTCCATTTCCTAGATGAGCAAAAAGCTCCAGTCTAAGAGTCCTAGCTCCAATGAGAGTCACTCTCTGGTTGGTGAGGAGCCCTCATCTGACTCTTTTTTTTTTTAAAGATTTTATTTATTTATTTGAGAGAGAGAGAATGAGAGACAGAGAGCACGAGAGGGAAGAGGGTCAGAGGGAGAAGCAGACTCCCTGCTGAGCAGGGAGCCCGATGTGGGACTCGATCCCGGGACTCCAGGATCATGACCCGAGCCGAAGGCAGTCGCTGAACCAACTGAGCCACCCAGGCGCCCCCTCATCTGACTCTTTCATAAACTACTTCCAGTGAATCTGGGGCAGGGGGTCTTTGAACCATTCTTAGGTGTGCAAGTTGCTTACTTAACCTCTTTGAGTCTCAATTCCCTGATTTATAAAACAAAGTGCTAGACTTCCTCTGGACTCTAATTCAGCACTGATTCTTAGACACACTGCTTACTGAGGTGCAAAGCAATTTAAAACAAAACAGGATACAGTCTCTCTAAATTCAGTGAGTAGAAGAGACTTTTTTCCACATGGCATACATTAGGTTAACATAATCCTTACCTTTTGGGGGTGTAGTCTTCTTTGGAATGCCAAATTCTGAATCTGAGTCAGAGTTGATAGGCTCTACTTTCTTCTGTTTAGGAGCTCTCTTGGGCTTAGCAGTTGTATCTGAAGACGGTTTTCCTATTAAGCAAATTTCCATTTTATAAATCAATGTAATATACTTACCAACAAACCGCACTCAAGTGAATCCTAATTCCTTACTGCTGATATGAAACTGAGTAGCCTTAAATGACAAAATGGTTTCTTTCACTTGGTGCCAGTGTAAAGGCAAACAATTTCTCATAGATGACAAAATACTTTTTATTTAATCATGAATAATTTGCCTTCTGATATTTCAAGTGAGATTATTTTAAACAAAGGCCATTAAAGTAACTTTAGTGAAGTGAGCAGTAACTTTTAAAAAGCACTCGTCATGACAAAAAAGTAACATATTTGACATTAATTATAACTCAAGTATAACCACATGTTAAGTCCTAACTTCTAACAGAGAAAAAAAAAAACACATTTTTATGGGACCCTCAAATACCATGAATAGAAGCTGATTCACTTCCATCCAAAAGTTGAAATCCAGACATGGCACTTTTATATGGAAAGAAACGAAGATTCCAGGTAAGTACACAATAGATCCAAAGGCCTTTGTTTTTATGAATTTTGTTTTTAAAATAGACCTGGTTTTTCAGATTTACAGTCTATGTGAAAACTGTGATAAATCAGTCTTGTGTGATTAGTAAAACCTACTTTGGGGAAAAAAAAAAAAAGCATTAAATTAACCAGACTTTTTCTATTACCAAAAAAACAGAACAGGCTAATTATATGGAAAATGTATTCCCAGGCCCAATTTGAGGTGCTAGGGTGAAGGCCCCTCATTAGAACAGCAAGTGGTAGTGGTAGCCACAGATTTTGTGGCTTTTTCCCCAAGTCCTTATGACTAAATGTACCACCAGAGCCACATGGCAGGCAGTTCCTAACGCGAGTATAGGTTGATGCAGCTGTGTGTTCTAGGAACCACCTTTTTTCTTCAGTAGAGTTTGCAGGCTTGTAGTGTTAGGTGGCACTTAAAACTCTACCACGCAAATGCCCAAGTCAGATATCTGAGTGCTATGAGATTTTTCGCTATAAACTACTGGAGCTACAGAATTTAACTTGTATAGTAATATATGTAATTTGAAGTTAACAGAGATGACCTCACGGAGAGGATGCATCCTCTCGAAATGGTATTTTGTGGGAACTGTAGTTTTGGAAGAGCCTAGAGGAAGACTGAGGGCTTCAACTATTTCACACAGGGATCACCTACGCAAGTGACACAAGGCTAGTTTAACTACTGGTTAAACAAGCAAATAGGACAGTTGGTGTGGTATGCTAGCGTTTTAGTTAATACTCCACTCTAACTCATGACATTAAAGAGGAGTGAGGAGCGTGATGAAGGAAATAGGTTGATATGTTCAAACAGGTGATACAGCTCCCAGGTTTTCAGGGTGGTTATAAAGCGCTCACATGAAGACAACTTAAAAAAAGATGCATAAAGGGAAACTAGGGCCTGTCTCAGTTTGAGTTCCCCAGAAGCAGATCCCACCTGATCCCAAAGCAAAGACTCAAGTACAAGTACTTATTTGGGAGGTGAAAAAAAAAGTACAAAAACGAGACGTGAAGAGAAACCTGTCATCACTCTGAGGGCTTATCTCTGAGCTTCTCTCTTAACATGAGCAACCCCTGAGTCACTGTAAAATACACACCCCAGAGTTAGCCTACCTGAGCGGCAAGAGCACTAATATATTTGCAAACCAGCTTTTCTCAATCACTGATAAAGGGTGGCTGGGGTGGGGAAATACGAACATTTCAACATAGTAACAAAAAGTCAGTCCTGAGGCAAAGAAATATAAACACTGGCTAATATGTACTGAAGTGGTATGGGCAGGGCACCTGATGTGTTGGCCAGAGAAGCTCCTGTAGTTAATTTCTTACCATGGTCCTAGTGCATTCAAAGTTAAGTAGGGATTTTTGTTGTTGTTCTGCTACATCTAATACATGTGTGTCTACAATGGTATTGTCTGTTTTACATTTGTAAGGTGCTGAAAAGATTGTCCACACTGATGTTTATTTACTTGCTATGCAAGGAACACTTACCTTTTAAACACGAAGCACTAATACTGACCTTCCAAAATACCAAGACTATGTACCTTGGTGTTAATAACAGATTCAAGAATTAAGTGAAATCAACTTAGATTTATGGACAACCTAAGGTTATGGATAAGAAAGAAGCTACATGACACAAAGAGAACCTCAAATGAACTAACCAATCATTCCAAATGAGGCGTTAAGATAGGACCTACATAGATAACACAATCAGGCAAGACAAAATTTTTATCTATTTTACAACCTAACAACTATAGGAGACCTTATTAGAAGGTCTATTAGAAAGACCTTTTCTAGACCTTATTAGAAAGCTATCTTTAGTATCATGTATGGGATTATTTTATAATTACAACAGCTTTAAGAATGAGATCTTATACACCTTTTAGTAATTACCTCATATGGTTAGAAAACAAGAGGGATTCTCTCTATACGCGTTTATACTATTTTCTACTGAAGTCCAAGTGCAAGCAGTTTCGAATTATATTAAATTTCCTTTAATATCAACTATATATCGTTTATGCAACGCTTAACAACACCAAATAAGTACATACCCTTTTTAGCAGCTACTGTTTTACTTGGAACCTTATCTGTTTGTTTCAGACCAAACGATGGTGAAAAAACAGAGGCAGAATCTTCTTCATTACTGTCAAATTTAGCTGAATCTAAAAAGTACAAAGTTTTTCAGTGAAGAGATTCTATAAGGACCACTTAATAGTTAAACTTTGATTCTTTACTGATGACTTGTCTTTAGCTAGATAATTGATCTTATGAATTTCTACTTTGTGATCATATAGTCCATAATAACAGCTGAAAACAAAAGATGTACAATGTTATATTTCAAAAATGTTAACTCCGTTGGTAAAACAATATAGAAATGCATAGAGTAATGAAAATTCTTAATAGTCCCAAATGTTCATCATTTAAAACATAATTGACCAACTCAAAAATACTGATTTTAAAATGGAATATTAAAAAGTTCTCACTGTGATTATTTTAGTATCTACACATCTAATGCTATTAACCATTTCAGGAGTATCAGTAATAATGTTCAAATCTAAGAGAATAGTTAACTTCTTTTAAAAACCGATTTTAAATCATTGAAGGTCAATTTAAAAGGCAGGTAGGCTTACCTTCAGTTTACTTTTACACTCAATTAATCAATCAATTTCTCCCTCCCTCCCTCCCTCTGTCAAACCCAAACAGGAACTCTTAAAATGTCTACTTGGATGTGATAGTTTTATATAAATGTTTTGACAACCTGTCAAAAATGCCTATCTATATTCACAGAACATATACCAGATCTATGTCTGTCTGCGTGTGTGTGTGTGTGTGTGTGTGTGTGTGTGTGTGTATACAAGACAGTTAAGTCTACATAGTTTTGACCTTAAAAATTCCACACACAAAAATATAGGGAATAAAAAGTATATACCCCAATTAAATTTGCTTCTACGAAGGGTTTAGTCTTTTTGTTACTACGGTTTAATATAACAAATCTGAATATTAGTCCCTTTGTAGTTTTTAAAAAACTGTCACATATACATTCATATTGCCATGAAAATCAAATTTCATGTTCCAAAATTTATCTTTTTCTCTATTAAAACACTATACCCACATCCATACACTTCATACACATATCTACCTACCCACCTAAATGGTTCCATATTGCCTATTTGACCAATTAGTTGGTACTCATCTCAGGAAGAGTAAATAAACCTTATTATGTTGAGGGAAATGTAAAAAGTTGTTTTCTACTCATAAAAAAGCCATAGCAATAATACAGTAAGTAAACAATGAAAAGACTGAATGAGCATACCATCTTCTGACTTCTGAGAGTATGAAGGAAATGAGAAGAGATTCCCAAAATCTTGACTTTTTTTGTCATGTGAAGATTTTCTATTAGAAAGAAAAATTAAGCCACAGTATAATTTAAATATATGGTTTCAACCTTGGTAAATGATATATAATGTGTACTAAGGGATTATAATTACAGTTCTCTCACTGGTCTCTCTTTGTTAAAGACAGGGTAACCAAACGCTTTTTTCTGTCTCATATTCACAGGTGTCCACACATACACAGAGACGCCAGAAAAGCCAATGATGTAACGTAAGAGAATGGAAGTTGAGCAAAAGTTAAAGTTATTCAAAATATCGCTACATTAAATTTTATGATTAATAGAACTGTTCCAGAATTCAACATCAGTAAATTATTGCCAAAAACTTAAGGAGAAAGTCTGAATCTCTGTCAGTCATCAGTAATCCTATTTCTGATCCTAGACTGCGTATGATAAAACACTTCTTTAAAATAGACAGTAAAGCACTTCCTTTAAAAATCTGAAATAGCTGTTGGGACGAGCACTGGGTGTTATACACAACTAATGAATTGCTGAACACTACAACAAAAACTTATGATGCACTATGTGTTGGCTAATTGAAAATAAAAAATTTTTAAAAAATAAATTTAAAAAACCTGAAATAGCTCACAAACTTCACATCCTACACCTTAGTGTTTGATACTCTCTAGAGGCAAAAATAAATAAATAAATATGAAAAATCAATCAAGGCCAAAGTTAGGGAAGAAAATCAAACCTCCCAGTTCTAAAGTTTTAGTAACTTCTCTGAACCATGTTGTCTATGTCCCATAGGCCTGCTGCCTATTTTTATAAATAAAGTTTTCCTGGAACACAGCTATGCTTGTTCATTTACATACTGTTTATGGCTGCTTTCTTGCTAAAATGGCAACACTGAGCAGTCGGAACAGAGACCATACGGCCTGCAAAGCCTGAAATATTTTCTATAGAGCCCTTTATGAGAAAAAACCTGCCAGTCCCATGCTTTAAGATACAGCAACAGTTCAGTCAACAGCTGCAATATTACCTAGATTTTTTCCTTTGTGAGGAGGACCTTACCTCGAATGATGATAAATTCTTAGATATAGTTTACTAGGGGATCTTTGATAGATTTCTAAATAACTGTACCATGTAACTGAATAGTAGTTGCTTCATTACTTACTCTGGAGTAGCTTTTGATTTGCCTGGTGAAAATGTATATTCATCTTTATCTAGGCCATCTGAAGGAACAAATTCATCTTCCCCATCATTTGTTATGGGAGATGCTTTAACTTTCAGCTCCTCTAAATCATTATTGTCATCATCATCATCAGCATCATCATCCTCTTCTTCTGAGAAATCAAATGTGTACTTAGGCCTTTCAGCTAGGAGAAAAATAAAAGTGAAGGTTAAACTCAAATCCAACTTTATCCACATGACATATTATGAATAATACATTTGAAAAATATTCCAGCTATCTCTAACACAAGAGGGGAAAAAAAAAAGACAAGCATTCAGGAAAAAAAAAAAAGCCAACAACTTCGTCCTCAATTATTTTGATAATGTTAAGTGTTCATCTTGTTCTTCCCAGGAGGCGAATGGGGTAATGCTGCATATGGAAAGGAGAGCATAAACTAATGAGATTAATGATTAGGGTGCTATTTGTCATACTTAAATATGAACTCAGAAATAGTGGGGAATATAAGCCATTGTAAAAGTGACTACTAAGATTTCCCATTTCTACAATGAGAAGGCCAATTTACTAGTCTTAGTGCTAAACGTTCTCTTAACCTCTTGCATTAAAACTTCTATCTTCTATTCACAGTTTTACTATGAAATGACAGACAGTATTCTTCAGATGAATGAGAAAAAAATAAAGACCTGAGTATATTACTAAAACAATAATTTAATATAAAGCATAAAAAGTACCAGCTATGGGGAAAGGCACATTGATACAATGCAAATAACTTTTATAATTTCTAGCATATATTATGGGAATAAAATTTTTAAAACATCTGGGTGCTATGTAATTTTATACTTCATTTTAGATGTATGAGAAAGCCTAAATATAATTTTGAAGCATCTAATTTAATAAATTTTCATATAACTTAAATTACACATGTTAATTCACCTACATTGTACTACCTATGCACATTAGGAAAAGAAAGTCAATCACCAGTGATTAGAGAACCGAAGAATTTAAGGCCTGACATATAATTTAAAAAGTATCTCCCAGAGGTAAAATAGCCATAATATGGTATCATTCATTTTAATTAGGACTTACTAAAATTTGAGAAGAATCTATAAAATAGGACACTCAATTTTTAAGTACTTGAAGACTTCAAATTAATGAATATTCAGAAAGGATAAAACTGCATATTTAACAATATAGAATAACAAAATGGTATCTTCATCCTAACCCTAGCACTACAGTTACATAAATTATGCAATGTGCATGGAATCAGACTCCTAAAGCAGGAGGAAATTTTTCATGGGGGAAAAAAAAATGAAACAGAAACAAAACTACAAAGCACTTCTATTGATCTATCACTGTCGGTGTTCTACCAAGGTACATTTTTACCAAACATCTTCAAACTATGGAGGGAATATAACTGAAACTTTTTAATAAAAATCAGTAAGAAAACTTGGTTTACTTTAGAGTAATTTATGTCCAACTTTGCTAAAAACATCATTCTGTAAATCATTTTTTTTTGTCTTCGTGAATTGTAACTTCAGAAATACTAACAATTTAGTACTTTAATAGCATTGATAATAATAATACTAACTTATATGAGTAATATTAACTTGGTCAAACTATAATATACAATAAAATAAATATACAATGTATCAAAATACCAGCTGCTCTCCTAAGCAAAGAATCTCTTGGAATAACCACAGGTTCTGTTTCTTCCAAGTCACTTTCTGACTTGGATTCATCATCTGACCAAGGATTCCGTTTCTTCACTTTCTTTGCACTGGATTTACCAGATGATGTAGGTGTTTTTCTCACCCTGGTACCTAAAAACAAAACAACAACAAAATATCATTAGTAAAAATAAAACTGTTAATAATGAAAGGTTAATTATAAAATAACAAGTGTTCATGAAAATTGAGAAATTACATCAACTATTAGAAGAAAAAACACAGTAAAAAAAAAATAGTAATGCCCTGTACATATATGCATTTTCTCACAAAAAAACTTTGTAACAATTCCTCACCAGGCTCCTTTCTCTCCCTTTTGGGTTTGGGACCTTTATTTACAGGAGCTGACGGGACCAATGCCTCTTCTCCAGTACCCTCTACTGGTGTTCCACTGAATTCTTCATCGAATTCTACTTTTACTGCTGTGGTATCAAGATCACCCTACACATTAAACAAATAAATAACCAGAAGTAAAAATAAAAATTAACACCATACACTTTAGAGATACATTTCCAGCCATAGATCACTTCTACCTCTGAAACAAATAATATATGTTAAAAAAAGAAAAAAAGATGATGATGATGATAGCAAGAGGGGAAGAATGAAGAGGGGGGAATCGGAAGGGGAGACGAACCATGAGAGACGATGGACTCTGAGAAACAAACTGAGGGTTCTAGAGGGGAGTGGGGTGGGGGGATGTGTTAGCCTGGTGATGGGTATTAAAGAGGGCACGTACTGAATGGAGCACTGGGTGTTATATGCAAACAATGAATCATGGAACACTACATCAAAAACTGATGGTGTAAATTATGGTGATTAACATAACAATAAAAATTTTTTAAAAATCAACTGTAAAAAGTAAGAAGGCAGCTTTTGATTAGCAAAGGGACTTTCAAACCAATAGCAAGATATACCAAAGGGTACCTGCAAAATAAGTTCCTATAGTTCAGACCTCTACATACTAGAAACACATCAGATTATTGAAGGAAGATAAGCAACACATGTCATGCACTGCTAGGCATTAGTCAAAGTCTTCCTACCCCAAGATTATTAAAAGACAGAGAAAGACACAAGGACAAGTCACTACAATACAAATAACAAATATGGAGGGAGGTGTAAAAGTAGCCCTTCAGGAGACGTGAGCAACTCTGCCAAGTGCAGGGTCAGGGAAGATTCCATGGAGAAGGAGCCTTTCTAATTGAGTTTTGAAAGAATCATGTATGTTTGCTAAGTGAGGAGAGGGAAGGAAGGAAGAGCACCCCAGTTTGCAAAAGACACAGAGGCACGATCGCCACATTGTATTTAGGGAATTACAAAGAGTCTGCTAGGATTGGAGGAAAGAGTAGCCACACAGAAACTAGGGAGGCACGCAGTTGCTAAATCACTGAATACCAGAGTCTGTGTGTAGTCAGTGGGGAGTCACCAAAAACTTTTAAGCATTTGTGCAATAATCACTTATTTTTGGAAATATCACTTGGGTAATAAGAGACTAGACAGAGATGAATGAAGTGGCAAAAAGTAGAAGTCATGATAAGATCACTAGAGACAGGAAGACTAATTAAGAGGAACACTTCTGTCAGAAAAGTTATGGAATTCTAAGACAGTATCAATGGGGATGAAGATAAGAGGGTGGATTTTGGAACTGCTTCACAGGCAGTCAATAGGATTTAGTTACTGATTAAATGAGCAAGTCCCAGGTTTTGGACTTGTTAGTGATGGCTAATAAGGCACAGGGGTGAAAGAAGTTTTTTGAAATCAGGATAATGGGCTCAGCTTCAGATATGTGGAGTTTGGGCAGTGGGCATTCAGGTGGCTTTATTACCATGGCCCTCCTGAAAACATTACAGCTTAGGGACATAGATTAAAGAGTCATCAGTGTGAGTGAAAAAAGCTCTGGGCATAGATGAGGTTACTTGAGACTATTTAAGGTAAAGAGAAGAGTGCTAAGAACACCAAGTGAAAAGGAGAGAAGTTATTTCCTAAAGAGGAACCTGTGTGTGGTAGGAAGCTACGTAAGAGGGAGAGTATAGATGTCAGTTTATCAGAACAGTTTGAAGAGAGTGATCTCTTTGGTATCACAATGTTCCTATACTTTCAAACATTCGTTCGGCAGAGAACTCTCCAACCCTCTCACTCCAACTCTGAGGTTCATTTCCCAAGCTCTAATTAGACTACTGGACATGTCTACATATCCCCTGGATTCTAAAATCAACCTGCCCCAAAAAATCTGCCTCCCTCTTTCAAACCAGCATGGCTCCTCTTCCCTCAACTTTGAACAGCCCTCTCAGTGTTTCCTTCTTCTGGCTAACTCTTGCCCAACCTGCTGGAGGGTTAGGTAAATCCCATACTTTTAAATCCTCAATAGCACCAGTCAATGCCAATGACGTAAGAGGTGCCTGGTAATTTTTTTTAACTAACAGTAATAACAAATAAATAGTAAAAAATAGCTTACTTTGAAAACCACACAGACCCTTTTCTGCTTATGAGACTTCTATGAATTGCTCATAATGTAGAATTAAAAGTTTCATTTTTAAGCTGATACACTTTTTTGGTTGTGATTCCATGATTTTAAGGTAGAATGCTGCTGAATAGAGTATTTCTCTCATCAGAATCAAGGGGCACCTGGGTGGCTCAGTCGTTAAGTTTCTGCCTTCAGCTCAGGTCATGATCCCAGGGTCCTGAGATGGAGCCCTGCATCCGGCTCCCTGCTCTGCAGGAAGCCTGCTTCTCCCTCTCCCACTCCCCCTGCTTGTGTTCCCTCTCTCGCTGTGTCTGTGTCAAATAAATAAAATCTTGAAAGAGAGGGAGGGAGAGAGGGAGGGAGAGAGGGAGGGAGGGAGGGAGGGAGGGAGGGAGGGAGGGAGGAAGGAAGGAAGGAAGGTATTAAAAAAACAGAATCAACTCAGTAATTCCTTACATGTATGTGGATCCCTAACTTAACGTTTTCTTTCTGTGGACCAACTGATCTCACAGAACAAATGATTGCCTATCACAGTGAAATATATTAGAAACAAAGCATGACTTAAGCACACAGTAAAATTAAAATACATATATACATTGGAATCCACCAATGAGCTAAAACAAGAGATATGTCATACCTTTTTCTTCTTCAGCAACTTTCTGCTGGCATCTGCCTTCATAGCAGTAATTTCAGGAACTATTCTTCTCCCATAAGGTGAGGGCATTGTCTCTTCCAATTGAAGTTTCTTCACCTTAGGTTTGCCAACTTTACCTTTTATTGCTTTTCCAGCCATTCCAGCCAGAATATCCTCTCGTTCTTGCGCTTCCACTTTCTGAAGTATAATTAAAAAGGAGGCAAGGGAAGAGGGTGGGTGCATAAACAACTCGTAAGAAAAGACAATCACTACTGCATAAGAAATTAAAACGAGTATCATTAAGGAATAAACCTTTCCTTCCGACTGATATAATCTAAAATAAACATTAAAAAAACACAATAATTCTAAGTCAAAAGACCTGAGTTGTAGTTCCAAGCCTAACTAGCTTCTCATTTGTAAAATAAGGGGGTAGTAACTAAACGACCTATATGGTCCCTTCTAACTCTAAGATCCTATGATATATTGGGCAATTTTAGAAAAAGTTTTTATTTTCTATCTTTCTCTACCTTTAAAAAAAAAAAAACAGAATTCTACCTGGAGAAAACTAAATTATAAAAAAAAGTTAAAATTTCTCTGTTATAAACCTAAAGACACTATCTATTCTATTTTGTAAAAATCAAAGTACCAATATTCAATCATATATATTTTGTTCTTACCTCTTTGGGGGAAAAGAGACTGAATCAATAAGATATTTTGAAGTCAGTTAAGAAAATTTGATAGAAACTATCAGAACTCAGTTTATTCTAAATTCCCATTCCATATAACTTTTTTTTTTTTTTAAAGATTTTATTTATTTATTCATGAGAAAGAGAGACAGAGAGGCAGAGGGAGAAACAGGCTCCCAAGGAGAAAGGAGCCCGACTCAATCCCAGGACCCTGGGATCATGACCTGAGCCGAAGGCAGATGCTCAACCACCTGAGCCACCCAGGCGCCCTCCATATAACTTTTTATATTCATCTATTCCAGGTAGAAATTATTTCTTTATAACTTCATATAGCTAGAAGTTTAATCCTAATGTGACTTATAAACACATTAGCCTTTTCAGAGTTAAAAGAAACTGAAATAAACATTACTTTTCCAAATATTTTTTAATGTAGACTTAACCTACATCCAGTTCTTCAACAAATGCTGCTAAGTCTTCTTTCCAAAGATCTGAAGGTGATTTTCTTTTAAGATCATTGACTTCTCGCCCCTATAATAAGAAAGTAGTATAATTTAAACAATCAGTAACTTAATAATATATAAAGGGTAAATCAAAATACTTCTTTTTGGAAAAAGAAAAAGAAATGGATAATACTGAAATAGTTTCAAATTATTTAACCCACAAAAGTTCATACTTTTGCATCTCTCTGTTTAATCAGTTCTTCAACTTTTTCTTTAGTAAGAGACCACAGAGACATATTTAAAATATAATTAAAATCGGGGCCTGAAGGAGTTCCTGAATCAGAGGAACTATCATCATGCTGGTTTTGTGTTTCTTCCTCTTCTGCTGCCTGTAAAAAATAATAAACTTTATATTAAAGTCCTGTATAGTATTAAATCAATGCTGAATTTTACTGAATATTGAGCTAAAAATTCCACAAATGCTATACTCTTAATACTCTATCTTAAGGGTGGATGGGGTTCTTTTAGATTATCTGCAGATTACCTATAAAAAATGTATTTCCTACAAAAAGTTTTCTACAAATACACAATAGTAAGTCTTCAAAAGGAATGGGTATATTCACTCCCCATTTATATAGGAATCTGATGAAAAATTAACTGCTTTGCCCAGGAACTAAGTCATGAAATGAGAAGATACCACATATCTTGAAATTAATAGAGTAGAACTAATGTTTTATCACTGCATCTTGTCAGATTTGTATACTGGTGAGTAAATGAACAATTTGAAACCCAAAATAAGTTATCACCTATGGAGAATGTTTTACAGTTGTAATATAAATATGCTAAGGTACAGTCACTCCTTTGATTTCTTAATAAAAATTCTCTAAAGCAAGAATACTCATGTATGAAGAGAAAGTTCAATTAAGAATTTAGTAGCTGGTAAGTTAGAGTAAGAATTATGAGGGGTATTCTAAAATTTTATTCATAAGGTCTTTTCTCATAGAAAAGATTGCAATGGGGGCGCCTGGGTGGCTCAGTCATTGAGCATCTGCCTTCAGCTCAGGTCATGATCCCAGTGTCCTGGGATCGAGCCCTGCATCGGGCTCTCTGCTCTGCGGGAAGCCTGCTTCTCCCTCTCCCTCTGCCCCTGCTTGTGTTCCCTCTCTCGCTGTGTTTCTCTGTCAAATAAATAAAAAATCTTAAAAAAAAAAAAAAAAGATTGCAATAAAAAATCCTCTTTTGCTAGTATTAAATTTCAAAATCCAGTGAATTTAATAGAAGTTATTATAGGTGACATCACCTCTAAGATTTTTAAAATAACAAGAGCCACTAAATAAAACTGCATTTAAATTATTTAAGGCACTCAGATAATTAAAAACGACTGAGTTAACCATGATACTCCATGAAACAAAAAGTTCGCTTTTGGCAACCAAAAAAGAAAAAAATTGTTTTCAATTTAGTTTAAAATTTTCAGGAAAATAATGTATATATACTAAGTAAAGTTTGGCATACTTTAGAGGGGATAAAAATATAAATTGCAAAGCAACATGCTTCATTACATAAACGAAACTATGAATTCAATTAAGCAACAATAGCCAAATAAGAAATGCTGTTGCTGAGTTCATCAATGATTAATAAGTACCTAGACAAACAGTACTTACGACAAATTAATAAATTCTACCATTTTTAAAAATTCTTCATGAAACTGTGTTTCTTTGGAATATTTAAGTTGTTACACTTACACTACTATTAAAATATTACTAGGGTGTTATAAAATCCTGTTTAGATCCACACTTTAAAAGTCTATTTGCTCTAGGCTTTGATGACACCCAAAGTATTATTAACGAACACTCGATGAATATATGTGTATTATCATTGTTAACATGAAGATAACTAAGGATATTTTCAGAAATCAGAAAAATAAACTTTTCAAGTTCCAACGACAGAATTCTATTATGTTAAAAAAAAAACTAATCTCATAATCATCTGCTTTATAATTCTCTCTTCTCCAACTCTATACAATAGGACACTCTTAAAAGAGCAGCTCCTTTTGTTACCTTAATCCCCAAAGTGAACACATGGCCAAGATGCTGAGAAAATTTTGATGGTGACAATGAAGTTATTGAAACCAACCACTAAGTTTTACCCATGAAATCTACTTCCACTGGAAGGGCATTCTCAAACCCTACACACCTTTACCTTCTAAAACTAAGCATTAAATTTACTAGCTTACTAGTTAATATTTTTTAAGATATAGTTTAAACCAACAGTCCACACAGAAGGGCAAGCAGTGTATAAACCATAATTTGGGATTCAAAAATGCAGTAAAATACATTGAAAGGAAAGCAAAGTGCTTGGATCATCTTAATTTTGAATATTCCCCATCTTGTCCTACCCCATTTTCCCTAAACGATAAATAAGCCTATTATCTTAACATGTAATTGCTAAGCATATAATTTATTCTAATTTTACTCACTCTAATATCTGGCATTATACTGACTGTTCAAAATTTTAAAAAGTTTAAATATAAACAAAAGCAGATGTCAATGTAGTTGATAAAAAATATGGAAAACATTGTGGGTTGAGAATTCATAAATGTAAGGAAGTTTGAAGTTATGTCATATAATAACTTTTTTAAGGATAATAACATCAGTATCATATATACACAACATTCCAGTTAAGTAAAAAATTAGTCATTTCCATAATTTTCTTCCTTTTGTACATTTGTGTTCTCAATCACAATGTTGTATTGCCTTTTTAAGTTTTTCTTTTAATTATTCACAACCGCAAGAAACTAATTCTTGAGAATTTCAAAGTTTCAATATTCCATTCACTGAATACTAGATATCTGAAATGAATAATTAATAAAACATCAGACTTTTAATCTGAAGTTCCAGGGTTTAAATCTCTGGTCTAAGATCTAAGCACAGGGCAGAGCACATACTTGGTGCTCGATAAACACTGTAATACTGAACATTTTGTCTTTAGTCTTCCCAGCATAAACCGAAACCAGACCAAGTGAATAGTGATTGGATACCATACTATGACCATAGTCAGACCAGTGTGAAATGATTTATGTGCTACCAGTGTAGTTCCCAGATAGTACACATGCACCTCACAAAAACCACCACCACAAACAACTAACACCCTTTAATGGCAGGCTCAGAAAAAAGGCCAAGGAGACTGAGCTACCTTCTCACACCTGGAGTCATTTCTCCAGGCCCTGGTTGAGTCACACTGGCAAAGTGCTTTGTGGTGGGTGTGCACTGCAAATTCCTGTACTGTATCTGTTCTGTGGATAAACAGAAGACTTCAGTCTCCAAACAGACAACTCGGCACCTTTATAGCAGTACTGAATTTAAAATTTAGGGATTGGGTTGTTTGTTTTGGAATTTGCTTTTAAAAGCTTCTCTGAATGTCTTGTTCTGCAAATGATTACCTTTTCTTGTGCTTCTTTCCAGGCTTTCACTGGGTCAGATTCATAACCTCTCTGGACTAACATTTGAATCAAATCTTTCTTTGACCTATTCTCTATGTGAGGGAAAAATAAAGTTAGGATCAAGAAAAGAGATTCAATTTGTATTTGTTTATATTCTACTGATAAAAATGTCTTCTATTAATAAAGATTTTTTTTTCCATTTTAACTAACGTTTAAATTTTTAAAGGTTGCATCTTACCTATAGTAATTTTTCCTTGTATCTTCTCTAAAATGAAACGGGCTTGATTGTTAAGCTTTGTAGACTCTGCTCCCAACATTCCTACAAGCCACTCCCTACGTAAACCATAATAACTTAATCGTAAATCAAAGAATTCTTTCAAAATGTCTTGCACGGTTTCATACTTCTTGAGACATCCCATATGATCAAAGAGTACCTAAGAAAAACACAAAGTTTTTGAAGATGACATAAATCTGTATTGGTATTTTTAACTTGTGTGACATCTACAGTATGTAAAATAACTATAACACACTTAAATGAACATACACCACCCCTAAAAGCTGTTAAACAGAACCAAAACTATTAAGTACATTTCGGTAAATATTCTTTTGGTGACTCCAAGAAACTGATAAATTCTCAAAACTATGAAAATATTTAAAATAATTTTGAAAATAAAAATAGATCCTTTAAAAAAAGGTTCTAATTCAAAACGGCTATAAAACCATCTAAGAAATTTTTTTTCAAACTAAAAGCATTCTAAGTTTACGAATGTTAAAGTTCTCTCTCCCCCACATACTCAATAGATGTGTATTTGTCTCTTTTTGTTTGTTTATAATTATGCTATAATTCAAACTTTCTCAATTTGGAGGAAAATTTTACTTCTTCTCTATCCTTTTTCTCCTTTTTTCTGTCTTTCTTAGCAGATGATGGCAGTTTGTCTCAGCCACTGTGCTACTGGAGTTTTTCTTTACGTCTAAAAGCTAATTTGGAATGGAATGAGGGTAATCATACATGTTCACTTTCTACCTTTCTCTCCAATTATATACAAACATAAATATACAAGTTTAATAAATAGATTAGAATTATGGGGAGATGACTACTCCACAATTAAAATGCTAATAGAGACAAGCATAAGGAACATGAAAATCCTGCACCAATCACTCCCATAACTTTTGGTCAGGGTGTGTATCCCATGTGCTCAAGCCCAGATGCACAAATGCAGAGTTGGGATTAAGAGTAGTGGATAATAATCTAAAGGAATGCACCTTGAGATTCTTCATCAAATGTACAGGGGGAAAACCATTCAGACTTACTACAGCCACAACCATCATGAAACCAATTATAAAAATTCTACTTATGGCATGGAAGAAACATTAAATTAATAGTAAATCTAATCAATTACCATGGAATTACAAGTAAGAGTAGTTTGAAGTTTAAAAACTTTGTGCAATCCAGCAGCTTCTGCTTGTGCTAGCTTCTCTTCAGTCATTTTCACCACAAATTTCACAGTTGTATCAGTATGATATTCTTTATAATCAGAAATTAATGCCGGTGTTTTATCTGTTCCATTTAGCATAGGTTCTAAAACCTGTTCTTTGTATACCTATAAAAGATTTAAAAAAAAGTAATTTTCCTGACACACACTCACATTCTCATACTACAAGTCATGCAATTTTTTAAATATTCCCTACTCTGGTGGGAAAAAAAGAAAAACCTCCCTATCATCTGCCCAGTCAGTACAGAGGACAATATACGGGGGTCTCAATGGTGAAAGAAGATATACAACGTAACGGTTCTGAGTTGCTTCTACACCAAAGGGCAAGGAAAAGGCTGAGTATGAAGAGGATGACATCAACTACATCTGACGAGATGACATGCATACTTTTAGATCTGTAATAGCTGACACTGACATGAATTTGTTAACCTATTTATAAGGGTTCCAAGCTAGCTTAAGTCATTCTACATTTAGAGAAATTAAACTTTTAAATTACTATTTGAATACTCAAAGCACAAATTCAACTGGATGGGTCAAAAATGTATATAGGAATTTTTAAACACTATATAGACTTAGGACAAACAATGATGGAATCATATTCTTACCAGAAAGCATTCCACTGCCCTCCTGACAGGCAGCGAAAATACTTCTACTAACCTGTGTCCAAGTTCTAACTGGAAGCTCTGTAATCTCTACTGTGTTTCTATCCACCACAAATATTTCACCACTGACTGCATACTGGTTTTGACCAAGCTCTTGGATGGTTCCTTTAAAGTTTTTGTAATTCGGAAGCTGCAGAGAAAAATAAAAATAACTTAAGGCCCTGACTTCTCTAACTGCCAGTACAGTATTTGAATGCCCCATCTACTGCTACTAACAGATTAACATGACTGAAACTAAGTTCCTCATCCTTAATAGTCTGTCTCCAAATAATCACTCATTCTTGAATTCATAGCTTCTGTTAATATAATCTCAGCATCTCCCAATCTCAAAACCTTAGCTTTGGGCGCCCGGGTGGCTCAGTCTGTTAAGCGTCTGCCTTTGGGTCAGGTCATGATCTCAGAGTCCTGGGATACCACCCTGCCTTGGACTCCCTGCTCAGTGGGGAGTCTGCTTCTCTTTCTGCTCCTGCCCCCTGCTCTTGCGCCCTCTCTGTCTCAAATAAATAATCTTTAAAAACAAAAACAAAAAACCTTAACTTCATCTTTCTTAGTCTTAGAATATTTTTTTCAGCCTATTGCCTCTATACCTCCTTCTCCCCTAGACTAATAATCCTTTAAAATCAAACTCCTTGGATGTTATATTGAAAGTCTTCCACAGTCTGGACCCAATCTAACTTTCTAACTTTTCTCCAATGATTTGCCTTCCATACCCTGCTTGAATATTTTGAATATTCTTACATATATATGTATATGTATCTATATACATATATATGTATCTACCCATATATATATACACTGAGCACTTGAAAAGCATGTATTGACCAGATTGTCTTAATATTCTAAAATATATCTGAAAGGATTAAAACACTATAATCATAAAGCATTTTATGCTTCTATTAGAAAAACCTTAAGTACTTTAAAGTATTTAAGGAGAAAAACAGATTTTCATAAAAAATGAAATTAACTTTAATCAATTTTCCTACTAGTGTTTTATTTTAAAATACAAGAATGAAATAAAACTTGGAGAGAAATACATAAAAATATGAAGTTTGTTTCTATATGCTGGTTTTATCAAGTTTTTTTCCTCTTTGCTTATATTTTCTATAATGAGCACTACCATTTTTGTAATACAAATACACTTTAAGTGTATCATGATAAAAGGAAATTTCCAGATGATCCTAAATCACATAGAAAAGGGAGGACACTTTTTTGAGAAGTTTTTCTTGGAAGTAGTTTGGGGCAAAAACAAGCACAGTGGATGATATAAGGGCAAAAATAAAAAAAAATGGGGATACATTAAAATATATACAATTGTTTTTAAGATTCCTTACAACTCCAATACGACTTAGTTTGAGAACAAAAACAAAGTTGCATATAATTTTGTCATAAAAACATTATCTTTATAATTTAGATATTTGAAAACCTGAAATATGAAGTATTTTTCATTTTCAAAAAAGTTTTTCCCCATAATCCTTATCTCCAGGCTTTTCCCAAAGCTTGTATCTTTTACTATAAGCACATATCAAGTTACATACTACTAAGGTCTTTATTGTCCACAATATGTTCCAAAATGCAAATGCTTCCATTACTTTTTTAAAATGACTGGACTTAGTTAGTAGTACATTATCATTTGTTAAATAAACAATATAAGCAGTAAGTTCTAAATAATTACCATAGGATGAGGATCCAAGCCATCTAGCATTCGTCTGACATTGTTCACAATTTCCCTAGCATCATAGTTGGGTAGTTTACAAGCCCATCCAGTACCAATGCCCTCAGCACCATTTATTAAAACCATGGGAATTATAGGAATATACCACTCAGGCTCAACACGTTGATTATCATCATAAAGGAATTTGAGCAGGTTGTCATCCACAGCAGGAAAAAGCAGTCTTGATAAAGAGCTAATGAACGGGAAAAAATATGGAAAAATGTCCTATTTTAGAAAATTAAACTTTATAAAGACTTTACATTTCAAAAATCAAGAAAAATGCTTTTTAAAATTTTGATTCCATGTACTTAACAATACAATTTACCTAAACTTACAACCAAATACATTTCTCTCAGGCAGAAAGCCAGAATAAAACAGCCCTATTTTACTTACATGCTTACTTACTAGTCCACCTAATTTCTTAGTATTGGTAAATCATGTTTTATGGACTTCCTCTTACTCTGACTAAACCCCCAAACCCTTCTTCAGCCTAAAAAGTAGTTGGATCAGAAAAAAATCCTTACATTAATTAGGACCTGTTTCACCAATAATTCACAAACACTGAGATCAACAAACTTCACTCTATTTGCAATCAAGTACTTTGGAGCATTCACGCTCAACAGGACACCCAATCATCTCTCCATACTTACAGTTCTATTAAACATTTAGTTAGTTCCAATATACTTCAAGTAGAACTTTATATCACTGTATCAGCAAACTGTTACCTTAACATTGTAAAAATATAACGAGGGCTTGCAGCATCTTTGCCACCATGAAGCCGAGTTCCAAACTGACCAATAGGCTGAAGCAAGTTAATGTTGTTGCTTCCCACAAAGTTCTGAGCCAAATTCACAATAGTCATCATCAATGCTTGCTACAGCACAGAAACAGAATATAATATTAATATTCTAAATTTTCTATACATATTCCCTAATTTTTATTAAAATCCAAATTCTTGATTCTCTTACATTTCCAAAGAACTTATAAAAGAAAAAATACTTTATTATGCTTAATTATCATTCTTCATGCCAGTAAATATAGTTTTCAATTGATTTCAATCTTAATGCTTACTTCTCCATGATGATAAGCAGACATCTCAGCAACAGATCCAGCCAACTGGGCAACTTTTACTTCACGTTTATCATTCCTCTTGAAACAGGTAAATAAAACTTTTCGTTGTCCTGGTTTAAAACCTATTTTTAAAAAGAACAACCCTCTTTTAAAAATACTACTCCAGATATAGTTGCAATGTTTCTTTTAATGACAACAGTGTTCCATATATTCAGGAGAAAAAAGCAAAGGTATAGTTTGCTTTTGAAAAATAACTAAAATTGTTACTTGAGATTCTGTAACACAGTAAGTACATAGTAACATGTTTTTATACCATCTCAGTCTATTCCAAAAGTGAGGTGCCGCGTAAAAGACCACCCCTTCTGGTCTTAAAGAACTGCTCAATGGCACCAAATCCCTTTCACAGGAGTTGCCGAGTTGCCGAACATTCATACACACAAAATGTCAGTTGTAACTAAAGTAGGAGCAAACCATCAATAAGCCTAAAAAGTATATTGCTAGAGTATCCCAAATCAGAAAACCCTTATAAAGAAGAGATGTGTTGTGGCAGTTAAGAATGCAGGCTTTAGAATCTCACTGATCTGGATACTCTTCTCAACTTGGCCATTTACCATTTGACTTTTTGCAAATTACTAAACCAATAGTCTCAGCGTCCTCATCAGTGTAATAGAAATAATTACCTTCCTAACAGGGTGATCATAAGGATTACATGAGATAACGCAAGCAAAGCATTCTGCTTCCTTATCATTCTTCTTGCTCTAGGCCAATGAGCACAGTAATAAACTTTTCAGTATATGCTAGCTATCATCATCATCGTGGGCTCAGAGCATGGTAGAAACAAGATGACAAAATATGGCCACTTTCCTTGAGAATTTTATAATCTAATTAAGGAGGCAAAATTGACACAAGTAAAATAAGAGGCACACAGTACTGGAAGAGAAGTTTAGGCATCTGAAACCAATTTTGACTGCAATTGTTAGAGAAGACTTCATAGAAGGGATATAACTTAAAGCTGATTTAGATGGATGGGTAGAACCATCTGCTATTAGCTGAAAACCCAAGCAACACAAAGATCAACTTGCTAAAAGTTATAAAATGAAAATTAAGTATTTCCAGAAAGAAGAAAAAAAACTGCTCTACCAGGTACCAGTTTCCAAATATTTTTTTGGCAAGTTCGATAAGTTAGGTTTTGGGTACTAAGGCATAAAGATGTTTTTAAAATTTAGTCTTGGATAACTATTTTAGAATTTATAAAAATCCCATTTTATATTTTATTTTAAAAAGTCTGCAATCAACCTGGGGCAAAACCTTTAAAAACTGGCTTTAAGGTTAATTTTCCTGAAAAGCTTAAAAAGAGTTTAAGAGATTCAAATTAAGGAATATGAAAGATTTCAGTCCTACCAAAAGATCTCAAAAACAAATTCAGAATTTTAAATTTTACTATAAGAATAGCTTAGAGTACATGAAATTAAAATATACTCTCAATAACTACATACAAAAGCGAGAAACAAAAGCTACTTACCATCAACAAGAGATGGTATAGATCTTTCATTGTCTGAGTTTGAGAAGAGAATCAATTCCTTGTTGATGAAATCATTGTAAGTCAAATGCTTTGTTGCTGTACCATACAAAAATTGCTAAGAGAAAAGTTATATAGCAACACTGTCATTATTCCTGCATGAATTTTAGGCTCTTTCATCCCCCAGACCACCACTCTTTATGACTAACCTCCGGTAAGCCATGTAACCTACGCTGTCTTCGGTCTTCCATAAAATTGGTTAACCATTCTTTTCTGTCATCAATCTTCTTTTTACTGAATGCCTGAAAGATTCCAGGTAACAATTTCACACATTAAAAATTAAATGACTTTCATTATACAAAAGGCAAATAACTAATTATTAATTTCTCAGAAATTGAGTTTTTTTTTTCCAATAGGCTTTTGTCAAAAATATACTTGAACAGAAGTCTTTCAATTAAAGAACTTTGAAAGCAGAGCATAATCTGTGTGTGAGACTGGGGTGAAGAAACACTAAGATTAACTAGTTTGGACATTAGAGTTCAAGAGAGACTTACAGAAAACCAAGACTGGGAAGAAAGGTATGGCAGGAAGGGGGATGGATATCACGAAAAGAATTTTTTAATTAACTTGATTACCAAGGTAATGGCAGCATCGTCTTCAGGACCAGCATATCTAAACAAGATGCGGTGCCTTTCCATATCAGCAAAATATTCCTTTGCTTCTTTAGCTGTACTGGTACCCAATCCTGCACAATATAAAAAATAAAATTGAAAAAAATCCAGAGAACGACAAATACTACGTGAGCTCACTTACACGTAGAATCTAAAATTTCTAACTCATTAAAAGAGTAAAATGGTGGTTGCCAGGGACTGGGGAGAGGGGGAAATGGGGAAATGTCAATCAAAGAGTACAAACTTTCAGTTACAAGGTGAATAAGTTCTGGGGATTTAATGTATAGCATGGTGCCTACAGTTAATACTACTATATTGTATACTTGAAAATTGCTGAGAGATCTTAAATGTTCCTTCCATACACACAAAAAATTAACTATGTGAGGTGATGATATGTTAATTAACTTGATTGTGGTAATCAGTTTACAACACATGCATATATCAAAACATGTTGTACACTTTAGATATGTATAATTTTATTTGTCAATTCCTCTTCAAAAAAGCTGAAAAATTTTCCAAAAATTATGAACATTAATGGTTGTTTAAAACCATTAAAAGCTGATAGATCAAGCTGGCAACACCTGTACCAATGGATCAATTTTAATAGACAAAGAAAAACCAGACATTACATGCCTCCTGATGTAAATATACAATACCATCTGTTAAATGTTTTTGCCACATAAATCTAATCCAAATCTATATCAAGCCTCCAATTTAACTACCAGTTAACAGAAAATAAGAGGCAGAGGAACATACTATATACTTAATGAAATTACAGGGATAATCAGCAAAATCCAGAATGTGTTAAATTATACAAGACAAACAATCCAACATTTTGAACAAATAAATTACAAGGAAAAAAATATGAAAAGAGAAACAATATATTACGATTTAATAGATTTATCAAACTGAATGCAATGTGTGGACCCTGACTGGATCCGAACTCAAAACAAAACAAAACAAAACAAACATTTTTATTATAATCAGAAGAATTTTAACAATGACTATTTAAGGTTATTAAAGAAAGGTATGATAAATTATGAACATTCTTTAAACATTCTTTTAGAGATATATACTATTATGGAAATAATATAAAATCTAGAAGTTATTTCAAATGAATGGGGAGGAGATGAGAAGAGTTTTAATAAACAGGATTGGCAGTGAAATGGTGATTATTAGAGTGCATGGGAAGCCCATCATACCACTCTCTACTTCTATAAAATTTTCCATAAATTCTTTAAAAATCAGCCATAGCTACTTTTGTAGTCTAAAACAAACTTTCAAAATATTTTATAATGATCTCAAAAACAAATTTATGTCAGTGGTAATTTCACAAAATTTAAGTATTTTAAAATACAAACCTTTGTAGTATTTTATTTTCCAGGCTTTCTGGTTTTCTATATGTTTTTTCCACTCATCAAATTCAGGAATACTATAGAAGGAAAGTTCCTGCTTATTTTTGCTAGCCTGAAATTAATAAAAAAAAAAATTAGTTTTCTGCTATTCTTTAAGCAACAGTATAAAAGTATATTAATGTAAATAGTACCTTCACAATAGGAGTAATGAACTCTTCAAGAAAGCCATGCTTCAAAAGTGATGGCCAATTGTGATGGATGAAATTAATAAGCAGGCCTTTAATGTGAGAACCATCTTGATCCTAAATAAATGTTAGTAAAGAGTGCTATAATAATTTTATGAAACATAATTATTTATATAACCAAATTTTAAAATGTATGAATGTAGCACAAAGTTCCAAATTTTGGAACTGCACTTTAAAAACCAGTGAAGATTATCCTTTAGATGTACACAGTAAAGAATTTTTTCTTAAAATTCAAATAATGAATATAGCTAGTGATAGTATATTTTGTAATTATAGGAAGATTTAGTCTATCATTTTATGTTTTATATAGATTTCACTAAAACAATGATTTAAGGATGAAAATACATAAAACATGGTTATAATGCCACTTCACTGAACAAGGGAAGGAGTAATCCATGGAGTACAGGTATTCACAAGTCTTATCTTGATATAAAAACTGCTAAATTTCTGCTTAAAACTACATAGCAGCTTTTTCAGTGGAAGATTTTCTCTACAAATGCTTTTAATTAGAGTACATGAGACATGCAGTTGGATGCATATGAAATTCTTCCTTTTTGGTTTTCCAGTTCTTTCCTAATTACTGTCATTTTACTATTCAAGTCCTAGTTTTTGCACACCTCAAATTATGCCATCATATACAAACATTATCCATCATCCTATTGATTAATCTTTGTTGCTTATAAATTTCATCATTTCCTTTCAACTTATAGGTAGGCTTCAACCCCACAACACTACCATGTGTTCTACTCTTCTCATATTTATTTCATTTAAAAACATTTTTAAAGTAACCAAAAAGATGGCTGCATAAAATGTGCCTCACACAAACAATGCCATTGAATGTTTTCTTCTCCCCACTTTGATGTACAATCATTTTCCCTTTTACTTTCTTGGAGAAAGTCTCATGAAACAAATATCAAAAGGGCACTCTGAAAAAGATAAGTTTTAAATATGTGGCAACCTTTAAACCAACCTGATCAGTCATAATCATAATCTTCCCATAGCGTAAAGTTTTCAGAGATTCTGCATCATCATAACTTTTCTTGTACTGTAGACCAACTATTTTGATAATATTGTTTATTTCTGCATTTTCCATGATCTGTGCAAAAAGAAAAATAATTCAAAGTATGTTAAAAGTGTTGAGGAGTGCCTGGCTGGCTTAGTCGGTAGAGTATGTGACTGTTGGTCTCAGGGTTGTAAATTCAAGCCCAACACTGGGTGTAGAAAGTACTTAAAAATAAAATCTTTTTTTTTTTTAAGTGTTGAAATATATAAAAAGTGAGTCAGAATTTACTTGTAAAAACTCAGCAATTTTAATAAAGTATTAAAATGTCACATATATGTGGAGATATGAAAGATACCTGTTTATGAGAAGCTTCCCGTACGTTAAGAATTTTTCCCCTAAGTGGAAAGACTCCATATCTGTCTCGCCCAATCACACCTAATCCAGACACAGCCAACGATTTGGCAGAGTCTCCCTCTGTTAATATCAGTGTACACTCCAGGGAATGTTTGCCACCTGAGAGATATTAAAAATGACATATACTCCAAATTCCTCAATTTTACCAATGAGAAAAATGAAGCGAGAAAAATAATCACAATGATGACAGTAAAAGGTTGTAAGAGTAACATTATGCTCAGCATAGTTTAAATGTTAAGTATATTTTACTGAATTCCTATCCCCCGAAAATTGGTAATATGTAGTGCATGTGTAATTTTAATGAAGTAAAATTATACTCCACACATAAAATTGTATAGTCTGGAAAATGAGTATTTTCTATAACCATATAAATAAACACTTAAAATCTTGAAAAAAATCTGAATCTTACCAGCATCATTAGCATCATCCAGTTTGGGAATACCTTTGATTTTACTATACTTTACTGATGAACACTTCTTGTTCAGCTGAGTCTGAGCCTTAAATTTCACCCAATTCAGAATACTTTCTACAATGCCACAGTTAGAAGCCTAAAAATCAAAGAATAATGATATACAAACAAGCCAGAAGTTCATACACTTAGCTAAAATTAATGTAATACTTGGAATCTGTGCAGTTATATGGAGAAACACTAACGGTCATGATAATGATACATGCTAGTAAATTTTACTCTAACTACAGTAAAGCTAACTCAGGCAGCTATACACAATAACCTATTGTACAGAAATACAAACAGATTTGAATAAAGGGCAACTTACCGAAATATGAAAAAAACTCTATTATAATAAACCCCATGAAAAATATACATAGCTTTTGTTGTAAGTTAATTTTGTTAAAATTAACATGGTAAAAGCTGATCCACCCATGAATTTACTAGCTGGGAAATTCTAGACATTGACATTTCTTATATTCCTCAAAAACACAAATCTTGAATTTGCTATGACAAAAACTAATAATATATAGGAAACATTAGGATAATCAAGAACTTATGAATCATCCTTATTCTTTAAAGTTTGGTCATGAGAATTTCAACATTATATATTGTGTGTCCCCATGCAGTGAGCCAATTGTGTGACGAGATGTTAACCCAAAAAGAAGAGTGAAGAATCTCCAAGTTGGAGCTATTTATTTTTCATTAAACTGGGTAGTTTGATTTTAGGTGTAAGAAATAGTTTTCTGCAACGTGAGATATAAAAAGAGGTGGACTATGTTGCCAAATCTAAACTTAATCCACTCAAAATGAAAAAGTATAAAATCTAAAATCAAATCATTTCATCATGAATGCTATGACGGCAGAAAAATGTAGGGTCTTTTGTATTCAGAACTCATCATTAGATGCAAAAGTACTATCTCTATAGGCTTTAAGCTGAGAACCTAAAAAACAACTTTTGTTTGTGAGGGCATACCTTTGAATTTACAATACCAGAATATGATAAGTAAGTTATTTCTATGGCAATTACAAAACACTCCTCCACCAAACTATAAACTTCCAAAGAGGGGCTGTGATTTACTCATCTTTACATTCCCAGTGCAAATATATTTAAAGGCACTTTACATATGCTTATTTAATATAGTTTACTGATGGTACTGCTGAACAAGGGAAGTGAAGTAAACCTTGCTTATATACAACAGATTATGAGAAATTATTAACTTCAAGGCTCAGTTATAAACCTAAGATTACTTATTTGTACTCTCACCTCATTTCAGAAAGGTTTAAACAGTCCAAATAAATACGTGCAAAGTAAAATGAAATTTTAAAATATGTAGAATATGATAAATTTTATATTATGCATAGATTATCAAAATTTCAAAAAAGAACTATACAAAGGTAAAAATCAATAGATGAAGTTGAAAGGAGTAGAAAAGATGAAATCAGGAGTCCTATAAGGACGTGTACATTTGTGAGAGGAAAATCTAGCTGAATAATGGCCAATAAAAAGCTAAAAACACAATCAGTTACATGAATCCCTACTTTCTTGGCAAAACAATCCACTGTTTTACAAAACAAAGTCTATCCTTAGTAGTTTTCAGAATTAAAATAAATCAACTAATTATTATAGTATAGGTGCCTATGCTCACAGTTAATATGAGAAACTAATCACAAAGAGAATAAATAAGTCAAGAAAACTACTTAAATCAACTCTCAATAAAAACACTGAGAAATAATAAAAATTTTACTCACTGCTTTAAAAAATTTTTCTGACAGTTGGCATTTGGACCCAAAACTTTTGGGTTGCAGAGTCATGTTTTCCTTAGTCTGAGAATCAAAAGTTGGATTTTCAATAAGGCAATTAATAAAAACCCATATATGGTTTTTTACCTGTTGAAAACATACCCCAAAAAAAAGTCAACATCAGAACTTATATCATTTAATAATTCAACAGTATATATAAAGCACCACTTACTTGAAATGGTTTTACTGATACACCAGCTTTGTTCTTTTTCTTAACTACTTCAATCAGTTTACCAACAACTTGATCTACTACATAATCCACATGACGTCCACCCTAAAGAGGAACAAAAAAATAGAATATAAGATTTTCTATAGCTAGGGTAGCAAAATACTTACGTATTCTTTTTTTTCTTGAATGAGCATTTAATCTTCACAACTTTGTGAAGTCAATATCATTAGCCCAATTATGCAGAGGCATAATATGAATCTCAGAATTGCAGAGCTGGATTTAAAAAATAAGGTCTTGGGGCACCTGGGTGGCTCAGTCATTAAGCATCTGTCTTTGGCTCAGGTCATGATCCCAGGGTCCTGGGATCGAGTCCCACATCAGGCTCCCTGCTCGGTGAGAAGCCTGCTTCTCCCTCTCCCATTCCCCCTGCTTGTGTTCCCTCTCTTGCTGTGTCTCTCTCTGTCAAATAAATTTTAAAAATCTTTTAAAAAAATAAAAATAATTTTAAAAAATTAAAAATAAGGTCTTTTTGGCTCTAGGTCCAATTAGCCAACCGTATAGAACTATACACAAAGTAAAAACAATCTAATAAAAAAACATGGAAATGAGAACGAATACTAGCAGACACAAGATTTAAACTTAGGAAATGTGGCAGCCATTGCCAGTTGGCCATCCAATGTCCATTCCCCCCTTTATTAAAAAAACCTAAATTTCTTTTTACTTGGCAACATGCCCAGTTGGGTTAAAATATTAACCAGTCTAGACTCCCTTGCAGCTAGAGGTAGCTACCTGACTCAGTTCTAGCCAGAGATGTTAGTGAGATACACTGGATGGGATTTCCAGGAAAACTACTGTATTCCTGATAAAAAGGGAGTGATTTAGTTGGTATACTCATTTGCCCAGCTCCTTTCTCTCTCCCTAAAACTTGGAATTGAGGCATAGAGAAGACAGCAGGTATCTTAAAGGCATGAGAATGAAAGCCACATGCTAAGGATGGCAGAAAAGAAAGAGAGGAAGAGCCTGGTCCCTGATGATACTGTAGAGTCACAGTACCAAACTAAGACTGCCTTCTCCCAGGCCTCAATTATAAGAAGAAAAAATAAAACCTTTACATCTTTATGCCATTGTACATTAGCTTTCTATTACATATTACAAAATGCAATCATAACTGATGCAAAATTTGTTGACTTGAGAAAGTGATGCTAGGTTATAAAAAAAAGTATTAAAAAAATAAGTTAAAACTTGAAGAGTGACAAATTATCAAATCACTGCTTTAGATTATTCTAGAATACATGCTTGTATTCCCTAAGACTTTATTATGATCAATGGACAAATGTTTTTAGACGAGAAAAATTTCACTCACTTTTGAAATCCAAAAGCCTACAGGAGAGTGTTCAAACTCTTTTGAATGGCATATAACACGTTCCACAATCTGACCCTGAAACAGACTCCTCTATTACTCCTTCTTTTATACACTCTAAACTCAGAACAGACTAAGGAATGTGTTAACATTCTAAATTCATAAAATATAAATGTATTCAACTATAAACACTAATCATATAAACTCAATGCTCAGTGAATGTTTATATAAACCATGAGTGATTTTCATGGAAAATAAGCTCTCATTTTCATAAGCCAATTTTGATTTCACAAAAGCAGATTTGGGGTTGTTATTGTTTTTTATTTTGTTTTTAATGAAGGATTGTTCTATCACTGACATGGCAACAAAGAATTAGCACACTTACTTTTGTTGTTGCAATACTATTTACAAAGCTGATTTGCTGGAATCCCTTTTCACTCAGTGTGAGACAAACATCCCATCTTTCATTTGCAAGTTCATGAATAACTTTCAGTGCCACTCCAGTTTCATCCAACTTGTCTTTCACATAAAGATCTACATAACTGCGAAATCCATTTACCTATTAATTAGAAAACCAAAACCAATAAACAATCTTATATTGGCAGCTCAACTAGGTGAATGCCATCAGGTACTCTTACAGTTTCATTTTCCCTCATTCACAACAGCTCTTACTCCTCAGATCCAAACCTTCATGACTTCCCCCACTGTATTCCTTGATCCCTGCCCTTTAAAAAGGAATTCATTTCTATATGTATCTGATAAAGAGAGGTTATGAAGGACAGGTAAATTATTTTATTTTTTTATTGTTATGTTAATCATCACACACACATCATTAGTTTTTGATGTAGTGTTCCATGATTCATTGTTTGTGCATAACACCCAGTGCTCCACAAAGAACGTGCCCTCTTTAATACCCATCACCAGGCTAACCCATCCCCCCACCCAGGACAGGTAAATTATAAACTCTTTCAAGAGTTTAAGTTTTAAAATGACAAAGTAGACATCTAGTTTGAGTTCAGACATACAGAAGGCTTAAAGAAAAAAAAGAAAAGAAGCTTCTGCCCTTACAAGAAAACAGCTGGTCAGACAGCAAACTGATTTTTCAAGAACCCTCAAAAAAAAAAAAAAAAAACTGAATTCACAGGACAGCTGGCCATCCTGAGTCTGAAGAGAAACAGGTGTCTATAAGGAGACACAGAATACTAACCAATTTGTTTAAGTGAGGCAGAAGCTGCCTAATGTCATATAAGCCAAAAGGAACATTAAACCAGGAATTTTGACAAGTTGCTGTAGGACAAATGTGGACAGTATGGGTGTGTGAAGTACCTGAGGATTGTCATCATAAGGGGTTCCTACACTTACAGGCTTTTTCTCCAGAAACTCCAGCAGGTTCTTACAGGGAAGGTCAGGGAAACTCTAGAAAAAGCTCCCCACCACGGTGCTGCTGGTTGAGGGGAGAGAATAATAGCAGCCATTGGGAATTCCACCCGGACTCCTCTCCCTTACCCATCCCATCCACAAAAACCAAAGAAGACAAAAACCTTAATTTGCAGGGAGAAAGATACTGATAAAGAGTATTGGTAAAATATCACTATAGCTGGAATAAAATAATTCCAGCCCTACCTCATCCCACTCCCAACTCATTTAAGAAAAAAAAAAGTTTATTTTAAGGAGCAGGGATCCTGAAGAATACTAAATGAGAATACTGGTGGATACATGCTGCAGTTAGGGGAAGAAAATAAAGGGCAGTGGAAAAATCTCTACTTCTAGAAGAGAGGTAGAAACACTTGTGAAGGCCAAATCCCTGAGACAGAGGGCCAGAATGTACTCCAAAGTCTTGAGACTCAGACATAAGTATCCTACAACCTACCACCATGTTAACAGGCCTCCAATAATAACTGTGGATTTCAGCAGGTTGGGCTGCAGAGACAGACCCTCCTGGAGGGGCAGCTCCAAGGCAAGGCCCAAAAACAAAAGACAAAAACAAGGAAGAATTTTAGGTTTCCGGTGCCAAAAGCAACAACAAACCTTAGTGCTAGTTAAGTACAAAAACAATAAACTGCAAACACAGCCATTTCCTGTACGGATTAAACATAAATCCTGATACTAAAGCCTATTTACTCCGTATCTACTATCCTATACAATGGGGCTGACTATCAACAAAAGCATACAAGGCATGCCAAAAGGCAAGAAAAAACAGACTGAAAAGACAAAGCAATCATCAGAACCAGACTCAGATATGTCACAGATGTTTTAACTATCATATAAGGCATTTAAAATAACTGATTACTATGTTCAAGGCTCTAATGTAAAAGGTACACAATATACAACTTCAGCAGAGAGATGGAAGCTTTAAGAAAGAATCAAATGGAAATGCTAGAAATCAAAGGCACAAGAGAAGATATGAAGAATGCCATCAGCAGACTCATCAACAGACATGACATATTAAAGGAAAAAATTAGTGAACTTAAAAATAGGGAAGGAGAAATTAAACAAACTAAAACACAAAGAGAAAATAGTGACTAAAGCAGAGCAAAACATTCAGGAACTTAGGACAATTCCAAACTATATAACATGTGCATAACTGGAATGCCAGAAGGAAAGAACAGAAAAGAAATATTTGAGAAATGGCCAAATTTTTTCCAGAATTAGTGACAGACACCAAACAGATCCAAGCTCAGAAAATAGAATGAAAAAAATACACATCAAAAAACAAAGCCAAACCCCCATATAAACACCTAAGAATACCATACTCAAACAAAACAAAACAAAACAAAAAAACAAAGACAAAGAGAAAATCCTCAAAGCAGCCAAAGGGAAAAATAAACACCTTACCAACAGAGGAAGAAGGATATGAACTACAGCAGAAACCATGCAAACAAGAAGACAACTGGATGACATTAAAAGAAAAATACTGTAAACCCATAATTCTATATCCAGGGAAATTCTGTATCTTTTGAAAGTAAAGGAAAATACTCTCTCAAACAGACTGAGGGTATTTATTGCCAGACCTACCTATAAGAAATTAAAGATTTCCAAGCAGAAGAAATATGATTAATATCAGAAACTTAGATCTATACCAAGAAATTAGGAGCACTGGAAATGGAATAAATGAAAGTAAAATAGAATCCTGTGTAGTATTTTTAATTGTTCTAAAAGATAACTGGTTGCTTAAAGTAGTTAGATTTAACTGTAAGCTGCCCAGAAAATAACAAAGCATTTACTATTTTAGAAGACACTTACAGGCAATTTCTTTCCATTAAACATGACCTTGACCCCCTTGCATGAACCAGCCAAATCATAAGCTCTTCTGGTCATGAGGGCCACAATATCCTTGTCAAGCTTATCCATCTTAAATTTAGACAGATCTGGTTGGAATGTTATGCATGTGTAATCTTCACCATCAAAATGCTTAATTTTGGCTTCAGAAGTCTTCATCATGTTATTCATCCATGTCTTTAAAAGAAAAAATACTCAAATATTTCTATAATGCTTCTATTTTATTATACATAAAGACTCAACTCATGAAATACATTCATTTACCACAACTATATCCATTTCCAGCTTTACAACAAACCAAACAAATCCTTGAAATTGATATTAGAGATGAAAAAAATTTAAAAACTACTACAGTTGTCCCTCCTTATCTATGTTCCAAAACCAGAAACCATGGAGACTACCAAACCCTATATAAACTGTTTTTTCCATACACACCTATGATAAAGCTTACTTTATAAATTAGGCACAGTAAGAGGTTAATAATAATAAAATAGAACAATTATACTTAATAAAAGTTATATGAATGTGGTCTTTCTCTCTCAAAATACCTTATTGTACTGTACTCAACCTTCTTGGATGATGTGAGATGATAAAATGCCTACATGACGAGATGAAGTGAGGTGAATGATGTAGGCACTGTGACAGAGCATTAGGCTACTACTAACCTTCCAATGGTATGTCAGAAGGAGGATCATTTGCTTCTGAACCGCGGTTGGCCGCGGGTAACTAAAACCATGGAAAGTGAAACCACAGATGGCGGTGGGGAGAACACTATTATAATAACCTCATTTGAAAATAAGCAAAATGAACCACACAACTTTATATACTATTAGTAAAATAACTGAAATTCAACATAATCATTTAGAATTTTACATAAATAAATATTATGTTTTCCCTGACCAAATTACTTTACCTTATGTCAAATTTCAAACTATTTTCAAAGGCCTACCAGAGTAAAATAAGACAGAATTTTGAAATATGAACTTGATGAATCAATGAGGAATTTTTCAAATATGCTAAGTGGATACATTTCAATTAGTCTGTAAGGTTCAAGACATTACCAGCAGTGCTTAACTAGGTTAAAGGAAAAGTCTATTAAATAAAGCTCTTCATTTTCAAGGAACAGGAGAAAGATTTATGTAAAATCTCCTAGGCATTCTCAAGTCTTTTTACTCTACTGACATGCTTAATGCTTTAAAAAAAAAAAAAAAAGTGATACAGGCATCATTGCTGTTTACCTAAGCTTCTATTATCTTAGCAAAGCAACACAACACACACACACACACACACACACACACACACACACACACACAAATTAGACACATTTCTATCATACCTGCTTAAAACTATGTTTGTATTCTTTGCAAGCAGTTTCTACTGTAAACTTTGTACTGAAAATATTACAAAGTTTTGCACCATAACCATTGCGACCACCTGTAGGAAAAATCAAATGTGAAAGATTTAATGAAAAGGATTTTAGGAACTTTGTTAACTTAACTACCACGGGACAAGTCTGTTGCAAGATAGTTCCACTTACTGCATTATTTTAACAATCACCAATTGAATATTTCAGAGTATATTTAGATTTTTTCATTTAAAGAAAAATACAATTAAGATTTAGCACATACAGTAATATAAGTAACATGCATTTTGTAGATTAACTTCATCACAATTTCAAAAAAAATTAAGCTTGCTATCTCCTATAATCGAGTAAATCTGTGTGAGTATGAAATCTGACCTTTCTATCAAAGTTATTTCTCTATTACAAAAATTTAATCTACATCACTTCCTAAAGCTCTGGCTTTAAAAAATAAATAAAAACCATCAACCCACTTGAGCAATGGAAATACGTAGAAAAACACTGGTTTTGATCAAAGCACTTCAACTCTATTTACAAAACCTAGATTTGCAATCTTGACCCTTGTGAAACAGTTTAGAAGTAACTGAATTGATACCAAAAGACATGGTTCTCTCATGCAATAAGAAATTCACATATATAGGAATCATACATCTGATTTTCATCAGCACCCTAATTCGAAACTCAAAACTGTTAGCCAGGTTAGAGTTCTAGGAGTTGTAGCATAAGGCAAAGTACTATCAATTAAGCTTTTAAAATATCTCTGTCAGACTATAATCAAGATAATACTTACACATGATAGTTTTTTATAGATACTAATTCTGAAAAGAATTTTCTCACAATAAAGCTACACAGGTTTCCTTTTCTATAACATTTCATAAAGGAATAGTTAAATTTTATGTTGGAAGTATAAAAAAAATTCTGATCAGCTATTTAGACTTTACCTGTTACTTTTTTCTCATCATCATCATAGTTACTGGATGTTAAAAGCTGTCCAAAAATTAACGCTGGAACATAAACTTTCTCTACTTTGTGTTCTACTACTGGAATGCCTTTCCCATTATTCCAAATGCTTATAATATTTGATTCACTGTAAATAAACAAGCAGAGTTTAGAGCTTACCATGGTTTAAAGGCATATTAACTTCCATAAAAAGTAAAGTAATCCAGAACAAACCTGAGTAATTATAAACAAACCTCCACCCATTACTAATTGGAAGACACTCATCTTTCAAGAAAATATTTGCTGAGGACACACTTTTCTACCCGAGTCATAATTCAAATTAGGGCCACTAAGACCTACAGGTAATGCTGAAAAATTTCTTAGGAAAAGAAACTCTTCTCAACCTCCCAGAAAACAGTAAAAGCACTGAAGCTTTTACCAGAAGTCAGCTCCAGATTGTTTTCATCTGTATTAGCCAGGATCTTCCTGCTTCATTCTACCAGTATACCACCTGTAAACCACAAGCTCTGCAGAGCCAGGAGCCATTGCCATTTTCATTCCCTAACTATTGCTTCAGTACATATGGAAAAGGACAAACAGCGTGAAATGTATTCCATTCTCACCCTAAATATTACAGGGTTGTTTGCATTATGGCAATCACTGTCATAAACTAATTTTAATATTTTTAAAATATCTAGATTTTACCTATTTTAGGTTTTTTAGGTTTTCCTATCACAAAACCATCCATTTAAACCCTGAATGGTATGCAGTAGAGGCTCCTATATCTAAAGCAACTTGACACAGGCAGTAGTCCTGATGGAAAATTTTGAGTAGTATATACTATCATTCTGAGTAGTATATACTATAATGCCTTTACCCATTTAAAAGCCAAATTTACAAAGAAACACAGCTTCATAACCAACACTAAGAATTGGTTTAAAAAGTTACCATTTGACAATTTGATTCATAGTTATTCTTAGATATACAGTTTCACTCACACATACACACCTTAATCTCTGAAGAGGTATTAGAATTAGTTATCACAACTAAAAAATGTGTTATAAAAGCCAAAATTAAAACCATATACCCAGGGGGAAATCAATTAATTAAATCAAATTAAATAGGAAGGAAGGAGGGAAGGAGGGAGGGAGGGAGGGAGGAAGGAAGGAAGCAAGCAAGCTAACAAATAACTTTTAGCACATCTTCTTTCCCTAATCAGCAACCAAACTTTTCCTTCCCTCACTGTCCAATACAGGTTCAACTCTTCAAATGTCCTAAGGCTCAAATTTTGATAGCATTTTTTTATTCAGATCTCCTGATCATTCTCTAGAGTCCTTAGTCATCAAGACTTACTAGTTTGTCCTTAGGTTCTTTTATTATCAGTATTCAGTCCTTTCTTTATCCCAAATGACAATTTACCAGTCTAGACTGATATCACCTTAAATACTGTAAATCAAGCTTAAAAGTCCCTCTACTGCATGTTCACAGCCCATTATCCAGATCCTTAATTATCGCCAAATTTAATTCCCACTATTTTGCAACATGTATCCTACTTTTCCTTCAAGTCAGTTTATTACTTGTCCTGAATGTTCATTCCCAGTTCTTCCATTTCTTTGTTTAGTGGTCTTTCCCTTCCTTAATGTCTTTTTACTCTTTGTCTAGCCAAAATTTACCCTAACTTTGAGAGTCAGTTTGCGACTTTCAGTTCTCCATTAAGTCTTTTACCCAGCCTATAACAATGTTTCCCAGCCCTCCTTATATACCAAGACTAGCCAGGAAAAAAAAAAAAAAAAACTAAATTATTGATTGGGTACCCCAGGTGATGATTAGATTATATTGCTTGTGGATACACACTCTCTACAGAATACACAGCTGAATGTTTAAGTATGTGACAGTTTCAAATTGCCTACTATATACTTTCACTTGTGCCTCCTAAAGACAGTGGACCGTAGAAACAAGGGCCAGAAACTACACTACTTTTTTAGACTTCCACATAGTTCCCAGCGTTAGGCCTAAAATTAATAAAGAAGAATTCTAAAGGAAATAAAGAAAGGCAATGAATGGAAAATTACAGATCTTAAGTATCTCAGAATGAAACAAAGCTAATACACTCATGAGTAAACCTTTAAAATTGTTTTCATCAATTTAGCATAGCATATGTGGTACTATAATTAAGATAGGTATTTTGTAAATTCATTATCTTTATCACAGTTTACAAAAAATAAGGCTTGACATCTTCCATATTCAATAAGTCTATATGAGTACGAAATTTGAACTTTCTAGCAAAGTCACCTCTCTCTATTGAAAAATTTCAATCTATAATCTCTTCCCAGATCTGGCATTTAGTTCTGTAAGCTCTAAACAATGATTCAGAGTTCTATAACTATATTCTTTGCTCCATCAATAATCTTCACAGAAATACTAAGAAAAAGAATACTCTGTTTGAATAAGCTACAAATAAAGTTTTGAAATATTTAAAGCTAAAAAGAAACCTGGGAAATAATCTAAATATCTAATATTAACTGTTAAGAGGTTAAATTATGATATATCGACATAATAAAATAACTAGTAATAGGTTAAACAACGATTTAAGTAAATCTATATAAGTTAATAACAAAGGCTGTCCACAATATGTCAAATAAAAATAGAAAAAGTATATAATCCTACTTTTTAAAAAAATAAAAATGTATCTGTATACATATTTCAATATGAGTGTGTACTATTTTTTTAAAGCTACAGATTTAAGATTTTTAACCTTACATAAACAAGAATAGTTAAACTAGAAGGACTGTTAGAACTCTGGTTAATGTGTTTTCCACATTTGTTTTTAATCAGATAGACACCAGCAAATACTAACCATCGTATAAAGAGTTTTAAGCTCCTTTGTAAAAAGTTGCGCCAATTTCTCTAATTTTCTAAAAGAGCTGTCCAAATTCTGCATGGTACCCCTTGCTAATGTATTCTTATGCCTTTTACAACCATGGTTATTATTAAAATTTTATCCCCATATTACAGAGTACTATTGAAAGAGTAAGAGGTAAGCTGTGCTGTATAGCCTCCACACTTAACCCATTAACTATCAAAATCTAATCTGTCCTTTACACAGAGTTCATGTACACACATGCACAAAGAAAAATTTTAAATCTGCTATACAAAATGTTAAAAAGAATGAAACAGAGGATATCAAAAATGGACAGCAAAAAAAACTGGGTCAAAGAAATAAACTGCAGAATAGCATGTTTTCCCATTTCAATTCTGCTTTTAAATAACTTCTTAAATAAGAAATCTAAAATTGTCTCTGAAATAAAATTCATTTTTATAAAAATAGCATTAATTCTGTGTTAATACATAGTAAAAGAAAAAAGGAATGAGCTTATGGGAAGAAATTCACAAAAGACAAAATGTTATGGTTAAAATTCAGAAACACAATTAAATAAATAACAAAATATAAGGATCAGCAACATCTCCCAAAATGCCTGTCTACTCCCAATTGTAAATATATTTTAATATTTCAAACATATATTAAAATATATACTATATATTTCAATTAAAAGCAGGAAAAAGATTCAATAGTCTCTCACCAATGATTTATAAACAAAAAAATAAAATTCACACCTTATTCCTTGGAAGTAGCTATGAATTTTTGTCTTATATTGAAATAAAAGAACTTTCTAGCAGAACTAATTAAAATAACAGAGAGAAATTAGAAAAACTGGTATCTGATTGTCATTAAGAACCAAATAAATTTAGTTATAATCTATGTCACAACAAAAATGCTGTTGACTGAAAAGTGAGAAAGAAATCACTAAAGGCATTAGTTACATAGAATTACTCTGTCCAGAATCTGTAATAAATTTAAAGGTAAGGCACAGCACCAAGAGCCACTATTCAGTCTACAGAGTTGTTTTATAGCTCACTTCTTGATCACTTTGTCATGATGGGATTCTATGTAAGCTGTTTAAGTCCATGTTGTTGGATTAATGTGGCCAAAATAATTAAGATAAAAAGAACCAACTGTAACTGTAACCATGTTCATCAAGAATGTATTTAAGAGAGAGCCCCTTCTTCCTTAGTTTTCAGAGTCTTTCCATTCTGAATTTTAAAAAGCTTAAAGAGGGGCGCCTGGTGGCTCAGTCGTTAAGCGTCTGCCTTCAGCTCGGGTCGTGATCCCAGCGTCCTGGGATCGAGTCCCACATCGGGCTCCCTGCTTGGCGGGAAGCCTGCTTCTCCCTCTCCCACTCCCCCTGCTTGTGTTCCCTCTCTCGCTGTGTCTCTCTCTGTCAAATAAATAAATAAAATCTTTATAAATAAATAAATAGCTTAAAGATATCTAACATTCAACATCTATTACTACTCACTAGCTAGCTCTCCTAAAACATAATAAATGATATATTGTTTTTAACTGACAATTTTCTAAATATAGAAGAAAGGGAATCTTGAAGCTAAAATTTCCTTAAAACTATTTTAAACTTCTGCATAAATTACAATTTATAAATGTCCTGTGCATCTAACCACATAAATCCTCAAGAATGTATTCGTCTAGAAAGGATCCAAATGGGGGGAAAAAATGAAAGAAAAAGAAAATCTGGAACTTCATAGTTATGTAGTAGTTATGTGGTAATATTTTAATATACAGCTATCTTCATGGTATAACTAAATGTAAGTTATATTTTCATATATAAATATACATTAATCTTAACCATACCATCTAAAATTAGATTAGTGACAGTAAGACTATACCTGAATTGGTTAATTTTTCATGTTAGAGAAAATTCTTATCATTCTAAATTACTAATAAAATTATAAATGTAAATGTAATGCAATATTTTACAAAAGGCATGCTATTAAAAATAGGGTCAATGTAAGAGTAGTATTTCTAAGTTAAAATGGTATTATTTTCACTCCCCTTCAGTTCTCCAAAAGAAATCACCATAGAGAGATCTAATTAGCTAAACGCCTGGTATATATTCTATAATATCAGCAGTTCCTAATTTACAAATGATGTTATAAATAATGGAAAAGCCCAAATACTGGTCCTAACAAATAAATTTAATCCATAACATAACTGGGACTCGTACTAGCAATAGCACTTAACCTTGACTCTCAAAGCAAAGGCAAGAAGGAAAGACTGAGTGACTACTGTAATCACCTTCAACAATATCCACAGCATCAAAGAGGGAGAAAATGGGTTTCCAAGTGTTCCCATAAGGAAGTACTTTGGAGTAAAAGATCATGAATGACAGAGGAAACTATAAAAGTATAGTATATTCTGGCTAAAAGAGGCAAAAATAACAAGATCTCAAGCAACAGGGCAACTTTAGGAGTACTAATTGTATACAGTATTCATTTGAGGAGTATTTGGGGACTTTCAGAATAAAACGACTTAGCATAAAAAAGTTAAACTTGAAATATACTTACGGATCAATAGAAACTTTAATACAGGTCATATTCTTATCCCTCTGTTTATTGTCAGCTGCATTAACTACAAATTAAATATTTTGATGAGTAATAAAATATATAAAGTTATATAAATAAATATATGACAACTGTATGTATATCCCTACTTAATATAAACATTTATATATGGTAATAGTTATTAAAATTACTGCTAACTTCTAATAAAAACTTTATTTTCTAAATAATATTCTTAAATTTTATATCACACTAAATTACTGTTATGTCTTCTACTACAAAATGGGGGGAGGGGAAGGGCAGATTTTGTGATATATAAAAATAAAAACAAACATCTGCAGGTTACAATGCCCTAATCCAGGTTAGATCTAAAAGAAAAAAAAAAAAGAGTTTAATTATATTTTATCTTGGAAACAACTACTTTCTCCTGATCTTCAAAAAACTTGTGGTTTTATAGACAGACTGAGCTAAAATCAGTTATTTTTAAATTAGAAAGACAGTCTTCAGCAACCTTAGAAATCAAAATTCTAAATCCCAGGCACTATAATTGATAATATATTGGCATACATTAACCACTGCTGTGGTTAGACACATGACTACACAAATTTTAACACAAGTTAGCTGTCAAATTCAACATCATAGAAAAAATATGTTCCTGATAAACACTATGTAACATAAAAGTAAAATCAAGTGGATAGCTGGGAAGCAAGAGTGAAAAGTATAAAATACAAGAAACCAGTTTTATTCCCCTAACCTTTCCCCAAAGAAGGACCAGAACAAGCTCAGAGAGACCCACACAACCCAGCTGTCTAGGAAACTTCAAGTGGCATTGATAAGGTGGCAGAGCCCAGAGTCTCTAGAAAGTGCTGGGCTAAAAATATTTCCAAAGTGCAAGCATTCCCTAGGAATCAATTAAGCATCCACACTTCATTGTGATTTCATCATGTGATTTGGAAAAAAACAGAGATCATTCAGAGCAATGGTTGTTAAACTTGGCTGCCCAACAGAAATTCCTGATTTGTTGGTGAAAAACCCCAATTTTACATGTCTCATAGCAAACTCACTAAATCTGCAAGGATCAGGCCCTGTAATCTCTATTTTTAACATGCCCCCGGGGTGACTGGTACGAATGCAATCTTCAAACGACTACACTTACAAGATTATAAACCAACTGTGGATTACTGACCAAATACAACACATTCACTTTACAGATAAACACAAAGATATGATGTGTACAGATATGAAAATATTACAGTGAGTACAAAATTTTCTGAAGAACATTTATATTCATCATAGAAGCCAGAGATATGCCTTTAAAATTTATACAGTAAGTCTGGCTTTATATACACACATACACACCAAAGGACACAGAGGAGTTAAATCTTAGGCAAATACTCACCCAAAATTTCATCAAAGATCTTGTATAAACCTGGCACAAAGGTAACCTCTCTGCAATTCATTCCTACATCTTCATCATACACCCACATTAGCTGCATTATAAGAAAAATTCAAAAGGACTTATGGGGTAAAAAAAGCATTTAACATCAGTTTTACATAGTATAAACCCACATCTGTCATTACTTAGATCTTCAAAGAGAAAAATATACACTACTTCAGTTACACTCAACTTCACTATACGCATATTCAATTGAAATAACTTCAAAACTGAGATATTATTCATTTTGTATTGAGTCTGTATTCTTATTTATAAAGTCAGCTTATTAATATAAGGCACCAAGAATTGTTAGAAATGATATTTAAATAAAACAGAAAAAATCTTAACTTTACACTTTTACTTCATGTTTTGTATTTTTCTATAAGGAACACAGAGAAAAATAATATGAACACAGCATGACTTTGGAGCCAAAGATCTAGCTTTAAACCCCAGCTCTTACTAGTTGAGGGATCTGAACAAGTTATTTAAATTTATTTAAACTTCAGGGGCGCCTGGGTGGCTCAGTGGCTCAGTCCTTAAGCATCTGCCTTGGCTCAGGTCCTGATCTCAGGACAGGAGCGGGCTCCCTGCTCAGCGGTAAGCCTGCTTCTCCCTCTCTCACTCACCCTGCTTGTGTTCCCTCTCTCACTGTGTCTCTCTCTGTCAAATAAATAAATCTTAAAAAAAAAAAAAAAAAACTTCAGTTTCCTCACCTATAAAATGGGGATAACAGGACTTACTTTCTAAAATTGTTAGAATCAGACAAGATAGTATGTGCAAGCCAAGTCCATAGTAAGCATTAGTCATTAGTGTATATGTACACATTCTAGAATGTGAAGCAAACCACGCATAAATGTAAGGACTTTTAAAAAGTTCACACACTACCATTTTATTCTATCCTTCTTACCTCTGATAGTTTATATCTCCTAGTTTTATCTTTAGCAGAAAATGAAGACATTTCTACCTCTCTTACACCTCTCTCTCTACCCTATGAGCAGACACATGAAATAATGTACTTACAAAGCACACAATCACAAAAAATTTACTAAAAAGTACATATAGATACACATCTCCTAATCTCAAAATTTAACAAATAATTACCTGTGTCAATGGTTCCACTGACCCAATATATGTATCAGGACGAAGGAGAATATGTTCAAGTTGTGTCTTTTTCTGATACACTCTCTCAACAGACAACTTCTTTGAAGAATCATTTTTGTTTGCAGTTTCTGACTCTTCTTTTTTTGCAGCATTGTTCTGATCAAAAAGAGTCTAAAATTAACCAAAAAATCAAATTTAAATAACCTACCAAGGGGTAAACTAAAATGTATATGGACATATACCATAGATTTTCTTTTTAATGACAAAATTATCTCTCAGGTTGATTTTTAAGTCTCAAAGAGAACACAGATCTATTTACTGACCGTCCAGTTCTTTTTATAGTACAGTGTAAAACTGCAGTTTTGACTAAGGTATAGTCACCAGAATAGCTAGAAATGCCTACATCTATTCAATCCAGAAATACAAACATTTCCCAATTCTATAAGTTATCAAGTTAATTTTTATAGCTCTCAAAACTTTCCAAGAAATATGAGTTCTGGCCAGGTTATAGGTTCACAATAACTGAACCTGGCTACCTGCAGGAGTCCTCAAATCTTCTACATTATCAGTGGTGGGCAAAAGTAACCTACACAAAATAGTGACAAATGTAGCTAATATACACTGATATGGCTAAAAATACTAAGCATGGCTTATGAAATCTCAAATTTCACACATTTATAGGTCATGCCAATAATTCCTTATAAATCAGTGCTAGGTGTCCCATACTGAGGCACCCACTGATTCTAGTTTTTGTGCGAGGTCCAAGGAAACAGAGGTTGGTGATCCTAATTCTAACCATTCCTACAGTAGATAAGGATCACAAACTCAAACTCCCAAGGTCTGGAGATTTCCCTGTCTTTTTTTTTTTTCCTTTTATTTTTTATTATGTTATGTTAATCACCATACATTACATCATTAGTTTTTGATGTAGTATTCCATGATTCATTGTTTGCATATAACACCCAGTGCTCCATTCAGTACGTGCCCTCTTTAATACCCATCACCAGGCTAACCCATCCCCCCACTCCCTTCCCCTCTAGAACCTTCAGTTTGTTTCTCAGAGTCCATAGTCTCTCATGGTTCATCTCCCCCTCTGATTCCCCCCCTTCATTTTTCCCTTCCTACTTTTTTTTTTAACATATAATGTATTATTAGTTTCAGAGATACAGGTCTGTGATTTCAACAGTCTTACACAATTCACACCGCTCACCATAGCACATACCCTCCCTCCCCAATGACCCTGTCTTCTTAATAGCAGAGAACACACTCTCTCCTTCTAGAATTCCCTAATATTGACAAGTAAGACATGCCACTAAAATGGCTATAATGGCATGTTTTTTCACAGTCAAAAAATAATTCACATATTAGACACAATGAAAATTGAGATATCTTCACAAGTCTTTGAACTTAAGCAGAAATGAAGTAGTCAGAAGACAAACAGTAGAAGAGATTTTATGAATTTGAACAAGCAATAAACCACTTTAATTCAGGTCCTACACATAACCATACCATTATCTTTAAAGTTAATATTTGAAAAAAGTCATTACATAGTCTACATTTAAAAAATGTATGTTTAAAAATCAAATACATGGGCGCCTGGGTGGCTCAGATGGTTAAGCGACTGCCTTTGGCTCAGGTCATTATCCTGGAGTCCAGGGATCGAGTCCTGCATGGGGGGCTCCCTGCTCAGCAGGGAGTCTGCTTCTCCCTCTGACGCTCCCCCGTCTGTTGCTCTCTCTCTCTCTCCCTCTTGAATAAATAAAATCTTAAAAAATGAAAATCAAATACATAACCTCGAGCAGTCTAAACCAGGACAAGAACTGTAATATGGAAATTCAAACAATTATAATCTTTCAGTACCATAAATTTTAAAACTTAAAGACTTAATATTGCAAAAAAAAGTATTATAAACAACTCATTTTCTATATTTTAAACTATATTCTTATACATTCTTTCATTTATAAGGTTACCCATTAACACTGCTCTGAGTCAATTAAAAATAGCTTTGGATAAAAGAAAGTATTTCATAAAATCTTCAGTCTATTACTGTCAAGAGTTAGATGGTGAACTAGCCAGAAATATACTACATTTTAAAACTACCAGTTTCCAAATTTCTAATCATGTTCCTTGTTTTATCATGAGACAGCTAATTAATTTATAGAAACAAATCCAAAAGTAAAAACACAACTGATTTTGTATAATGGGTCATCAGAATAATAAGGACTAAAATCACACTCTTAGCAGTGTTTAAAGACTATAAATGCTATGGAGTCAAAGGGAGGTAACTCCTTACCATTAACTCAGAACTGTTTGCAATCATTGGCATAAAGGTCAGGAACTTATAATAACCATGCAAGTAAAAGCTCTCTGATCCCAGGCTACTACTCCAAATTCCACAACAAAGAAAACATCTTCAAGATTAGACTTAATCAAGGACTCAGTTTACCCAATTGGGGCTTCTGTGTTTGGCCCTGATGAATTACACTTAACTAAAAGGGCAACAAGTAGGGAAAATAAGGATAAAGTCCCTTATCACTCCTTTTTCAAGAATTTACAACTTCTCCCATATTCCCTCACTACCGATCACTTCTTCCTCCCAAATGGATACTTGAGAATAAGGAATGCTTGGCTTGCACCTAACACATCCCTATCAAGTTCAAAAGTTGTCATTCTTGCTAGGATAATGTCTCAAAAATCAGAGAACAAGTGAGATGTAGTTGGCTTTGTCAGACAAGATTACTATTTGTAATTTTCTCTAGGAATAGAGTAAGTTTGACAATATACTTAAAGTATTTTATGTCAAAATGTTTTTTCCCAAATATATGACACATGTTAAGGAAAGAAAAAAAGGAACCATTTTATTTAAAGTAATGAAAAGCATTAAGGAACATATTATTTATAGAATATAATAAAACAGATGTTTTGAGATCTTTGTCAATATTTCAACTCCAGTTTATACTAAATAATTTCTAAAACTTGCATATATACCTTTAAACCTGGATATTTCATTGAGTAAATATTTTTAGTTACTTTTACCAAAAATTATTTGTGTTGACTATATAAACTTCTATTGCTATATCTTTTACGTAAAGATATTATGTAATCAAGTATTTTTAAATTAGTAGCTTATTAAAACTTAACTGGTGAACAAAACTGCAAGGGTATATAAAAAATGAGCCCATTTTCATCAGAAAAAATCTATATAATATATACACACAGAGGAAAAAATATAAAATATACCCAACAGAATATCAATCAAAATTATCTGTAAGAAGTAGAAATAGAAGTTTTCATTTTTTCTGATACACATTTTCTAATTTTCTACAATGAACACATATAGAAGTACTTTAAAAGCTCATTAGCCCATGTATGTGAAAACATAATTACACTAGAATAAAACTGAAGGTTTCTTTTTTCTAGTGGCACTGTTAATACCTACCTATTATTTCTGCATTCCCAACTTTCTCACTAGAATTTAGGCAAAAAGGTAAGTGAAACCAAAATAAACAAGTAAGGCTGGCAAGTTTGGCAAAGTAGAAAACAGAAATTAACATTGCAGTCAGATTTGTCTTTTTACTTTCCCATTCTCAATAAATGGTAGTTTGCACTGCTCACTGGCTCACTAGCAGCAAACAGAAAGAGGAGGTTCTCTCCTGAGAGGTAAGTTTTTCTCACAGAAACCTAAAATAATGATCTCTTTTAGCTCCTCCTTATTAGCAGAAAGTTGCCCCCTGAATAATGTCCAGGCCACTAAAAATCAAAATATGGGGATGAAGGGACAGAGAGAGCAATTACACCACCCCCTCAGTGGGATGGCCCCATCCCTAGAATAAGTATAAATACAAACACTTTGGGCCTGAGAACTAAGTAAAATGAGAAAAATCTATTGATCATCTTCCCTACAGCTCTTATTGTCACTATCTCTAGGAAAGAAGAAAGAATAAAGAAAAAAGAAAAGAAAGATTAGAAAAGAAAAAGGAAAGAAAGATCACCCAGAGTAGTTCTTCAGTTTTAACACTGTTACTAATAATATTCAGAAGAGAGATCATGAAATTAGCTTGAACACAAACAGATCAGCAAACTCCTATCTACACATTTACAAAAGTACTCTCAATCCCACAAACGATAAAGGAGACTGATATATATCTGTTATCTGTAGGCTAAAAGAATTATGTTCATTTTGGGGGTGGGGGAGCTAAACTTTACACATTAATGTCAGTACATTCAGGTTTTCATTATTTGGTTTACTTGTAAATCCACCAGTTTTCCCATTGTTATTAGCTCTACTTGAGAAGCTGAAAAATTATTCTTGAATTGTAATAATCTCCTCATCCTCATGTTTAATTGAGACAAGTATATGTTGGCACACAGGTTTGATTTTTAAATTTGTTTTTGTTGCTGTTGTATTAGTTTTTTTGTTTTAAGTCCTTGTTTCACTAATTTTTTAATGCTTTTTAAGTTTTTGAATTATGCTCATTTTAAACATTGAAAAGAAGGGGTCTTTTGATTCAAAATAATGATTTAACCTTTTCTTATTCTTATGTTCATAATAGTAAAATATCTTGTACTACAGTGATTGACTAAGTAGTCCACATTAAATAAAAATTCACAATATGCCCTTAAAAATAATCAATTACCAAAATCATTCTAAATAAATTTTAAGGTTTGCTAAAACTGAAAACTTACAATTTAAGTTTTTTGTAATTTATTTTACTGCCTAAATTTGTGTGCACAAAACACCAAGCTATTTATAGTAATAAATAATTCCAGCATCTAATTAACACTAGAATATAAGAAATCAGATCAACATTTTCATTCCCACATAAAACTAAAGACAATAAAAATGTGAAAATATCCTCCACAAATCTTAAAAACATTTTAATTCTCTTCCTTGTGGTTTACACATCTGATGCCATCCATAACTGACTTTTTCTGAAGTTCAAAAGCTGGCTGCCAAAATAATACATTGTTGGGAATTTCTTAGTTATAACAAAAACATCAAAATAATACCTAAAATCCATATTAAAATATTAATCTATTTTAAGCACTTTTGCAATATTGCTAACTCCTAGTGAAAGAATATAGATCTAATACTTTTATCCAAAACTCAACCTTTATCAAGAATACTTCTTAAAAAAAAAAAATACTTCTCAACCACCAGAAAAAGAAAA